CGTACACTGTTGAGTTATGGATGCACTTGGGAGACGTCTTGGGAGGATTGCTAAGCTCATAAGAACTCGAGGTATAGTTTATTGACGTTATCAGCGTGCTCACTCACGTGAATATCTAGCACGCTCAAGTTATTGAATTTGATTAGGCGAATATTTTATGTTATTGAAAAGCTAATAGAGAGCTTGTACTCGTACAGGGAAAGTGAAAGCTAAGCCGTTCCGATGAGTCCTTTGCAGCTAGGTCACGTGAATCCGGATATTTTTGAAACAGCAATTTTTATTACACGAATCGGCCGTCTACCCACACGAAACCAGTGAATCCGCTCATTCATCAAGGGCCTATTCGTGCAAAAAAAAAATACGGTTTAAAAACCCTGTCAAAATATCAGAATAGAAACTGCCGAAAAAGTCTAAAAACAACAGTTGCTCCCCCTTCAGTTGCTAACAAAATATATTTCTTTAACTTTAGCTCATGATGAATCGCCTAGTGATTTTATTGGTAATTGCTGTTGCAGTAACAAGTTGTGCTTTACCCAGTGAAGGTAAATTGCAATTTATCTCTGTTTATTCATTTATCTATTTATTCACAGGGGCGGATCTAGGGGGAGGGTGTAGGGGGTGCGCCCCCCCCCCCCCCCGAGATGACCTGCGGCTTTCTAATACAACTGGTATTCCGCAAAAAAAGCAATCGCTTCATAGCGAGGCAAATGTGTGCCGACACAAATGCAATCTCGAGAAAAAACTCCCCTATTAATTGCACAGGACACCCAATTATGCACAGAACACGCAAAACAAATTAGGAGTTGCGTTCTCGTACCTCGAACGCAATAAGGCACTGGACCTGTACGACGTTGACGACATCAGAATCTGGAGAACAATCTGTCCCAGGTGCAACATAGCGAGGACTCTCCTGTGTCCACCGACGTGCTGCTTCTAACAATTTGAACTTCTGTGTTTTGTTTCCTTTTGATTTTTGTTTATATATCAGTAACTTTAGTTGTTAAGTGTTTTTTTTAATTAACAAGGGATCCACTATAATTGGTTAGGCTGTAGTGGTCTCCCTGCCTTATGTATTCATGTATAAAGATTGTATTCTAGTTAGGCGAGGCTAAATGAATAAATAAATAAATACAGTGGCTCTAGATTTCGCTTAAGATAGTAGTAATTTAGTTTTTTTCGTGCTCCTGTTGGAAGGAAAGGAATGTAGCCGTTTTTCTTCACACCATTGTGTCATTGTGGAAAGTCATTGCTAGTCACGTTTTTCCAGAGAATAAACGTGTTTTTGTCTATTTTCTAACCGCTACAGAGAAAGTGGGGTGGGGAAGGGTTAAATGAGCGTAAAGTCAGCCTAGGTTTGTTAGTCAGGTGATAACTATTTCGAGCTACCACTGTCTTAGCGTTGTCTTTTCAGGTCAGGAACCTACCACCGGATCGCCAGGTGGAAACTGTCCAGATTGTACAGCTGTGTGCAAGACCTGTGGAAATGGTTGCGGCCGCTGTAGATGCGCCAATTGTAAATGTAAATTCAAGTGTTACTAGTTTCTCCTTTATTCTGTAACTTTCAGGAGTGCAAAAGCCTAGACATATGAAGACACAATGCCATTAATCCAATCTGATGTAACGCATGTCCTGTAGCTTTGCGTCTTGTTGTCAAGAACTAGGAATCTATTGTTATGAATAAAAATCTTATTTTTTATGTACTGCCATTGAATGTATTCTGTTTTCCTGTTTGCACTAACTTCAGTGTGATACCAGGCAGTTTACCATACCACGACGGCAAAGGTGGAGAGAAAAATAATATGATGAAGCAAAACCGTGAACTTCTGTGCACGTTGGCCGTTTACATTTTAGCAAATTTTCGTGAAGTTTCCTGCAAACCAACAAAGCCAAATGATTAACTTCGTCATGAAGATATCACGGTTTCATCATAGGTTGATTAACTTCACTTTTTCTCTCCTCTTTTGTTAATTTGGGCATACAGAACAATGCAACGATTTGCTTGAGTGATCATTAAACAATGGATTCCCAGTGCGCCGTTACCAATGCCCAAAGAAAGCAACCTTTATTGAATCATGATACATATCATAAATTGCATACCCTTTTTTAACCTAGGCATCCTCGGAGACCCAGGGGCAGATAGTGGGAGCGAGGGAAAGTCTAAACGGGCGGGAAAATATGGCACGAAGAAAAGTAAAGAACGGCGAGAAGAGCCCCTGGGGACAATGTCTTACCTGACCAGTTCCAAACGGTCGCCGCCGTTCTGGCTTCTGATTGGGCAGAAAAACACAAAAGTTTTCTGGCACCAATCAGAAGCCAGGACGGCGGCGACCGTTTGGAACTGGTCTGGTAAGACATTGTCCCCAGGGGCTCTTCTCGCCGTTCTTTACTTTTCTTCTTCGTGCCATATTTTCCCGCTCGTTTAGACTTTCCCTCGCACCCACTATCTGCGCCTGGGTCTCCGAGGATGAAACCTAGGTTGATTGTCAATTTCCTTTACGTCCTAGCCCTAATTATTATTCATGAATAAAGGCTGAGAGGCACAGAAAACAGAGAATCAACCCAGGTTAAAAAATTTTAACCTGAAGTTAATTTTGACTTGTAACACAGACTTTGTGTCCTTCACCCTGGGGCCGGGGGGGGGGAGGTACTCCCATACATTACCTATCCGGGTATGTGCCGCCCAACGGGGTCGTGATTTTGAAGCTCCTGGTTTAGAACGGGGTATCCATTTCAAAGGTGTTTTCTAGAACGGGGTATAAAAAATTGTGGATCACGGCTTTATCTTCTGCTTAAAATTGTTGCTGATTATGAAGAAGCATTTATTTGATGTATAAGTCGAACAAATAAAGAAATATGTTTTTTAAAAAAAGGGCTATTTCAATTTACAAACTTTCTAGAACGGAGTATAAAAAATTGGCCCATTTCTATAACGGGGTATCAGTTTTAGGGCGAATTCTAGAACGGGGTATAAAAAATTGGCCCATTTTTAGAACGGGGTATCAATTTTAGGGGAATTTTTTTTATAACGGGGTGCCAATTTGGAGTCCCGGGCGGCACATACCCACCCAAAAAATACCCAAGTGTCCCCCCCCTCCCCCCAGGGGTCCTTCAGCTTCAGTTCACTTCTTTTCACACGTCAAGATTTCCTAGATTTTCAAAAAACAGCTGAAATAAAATATTATGAGAAGAAGACAAATATAAATGGACTTGGGTTAACTGATGATTGCATGGTACAGAGAAGCACAGCTTTTGAGCTAATGACCCCATAAATGGCACGCAGAGGATTGAAATGTTTATAGGTATATGTAGGCATGTCCTCGACAAGTATTTTTGTCCATGATTTTTATTAAATGATAGCAATGAATGGGTTACATGACAAGGACATTCTTGTGAATGTGGTGTTTTCATAAGACGTTAAGCTTTGAAACTGTGAAATTCAATTTGCACAGTATATTGTTCTTGGAACGTTGCCCAAATAGAGTAATCGAGATCGATTGTTTTGACTCGAAGTTGCAATAGGCACGCAATACGTGCGACCGTAAACAAGCCAAGCGGGACGTGAATGTCTGCCACGCGAACGACTCGTACAAGCTGAAAACCATGACAGAAAGATAGCTCTGTTAGCATGGTACTTGATTCCACTTTTACGATCTCAAAAACTCTGCAACAAAGTAACACAATTTCCAACAGTCCCAACAGTGCGCGGACGCACTGTCGAGCTCAAGTTACTGTCACGAGTTATCGACGTAAATATGCGAAGGTAAGGAGGTTACGAGTTAGGTTAGGAGTATTTTTTCTTACTTGAATTTTACTTTTGTTTATTCAATTGTTTATTATTTCTTGTTTCTGTCGGATGTTGCATTTAAAGTGACTGAAAATTTTTCTATTTGATAGAGCGATCTACAAATAGCATATTCCTTTCCTGTAAAGAATGACTTCCCAAACGCAGGGCCGGCCTGCGCCTATTCCAAACAAGATTTTTGATTGGATAGGAAAACAATAGGGATAGTGACAAAACAATGCCACTATCCCTGAAAACAGTAGGTAGTGCAGGCTATAGGGACCAATGAAATAAGAGATTTGGATGGGTGCAGGTCAATCGGCAAACGCAGGGAGAGAATAGCAAAAACATCAGAGGGTAATCTGCTGTCACATGTTAGGAGAGAAGGAACTTATTAACTCTTTGAAATTACCCACCCCCCCCCCAATAATTTAAAAAGGGGCCCCATCGTAGGGGGAGGGAAACATATTTTGATCCGTCTTCTATTGTCTGTTTGCTGCACAGACAAAGGGCTCCATTTTTCGATTAGGCTTTGCCTTTGATAGCCAAAAAATAATTCTCCGTTTCTGATTGGCGAAAATCCCACCCATAATTCACCATAACCAGCTATTGTATACCAAATTGAAACGATGACGTCAAAAGTGCAGCAAAGTTCCAGATTGTTGAACTGTTAACCTAGAAGACCTGGGGATGAGGTAGAGTTGTTTTGGTAGTGAGAACAAAAACTGCGGACATTTCAGTCGTTTCACCAGGAAGAATTAGGCGAACTATCAGCTAAAATATTAGCAAGAACAGCAAGCTAAGAAGACAACTCGGAGGGGCCGAAATCTGCTGTTTGGAGAATATTTGTGGAGCTGAACAAGCCTTCAGCCCCTAAACTAGAGTGCACACGCGATCTCACGAGCAGGGTTTTCCCCTCTAACGGTGACGCATGCGCAATGCTTTCGTCCATTGGGTTCGTTTCAACATTTTTTCCAAACAAATCCTATATAAAAGACAGCTTATAGTTAATATAAAAAGAGACAAAATTCCACATTTTTGGTTCTTGCAAAAATTTTGTCTATAGGATTTTTTTTCTCTCTCTAAAAACAGTTATTTCAAAGTACTAAATAAATCCTGAAATTTCCAGATGGGGTCGTACGGCTAGTGTAGCAAGCCACCTTAGCAAATCATTTTCAAAATTGGCAATGTTGCTAATTTAAGACGCTTTTTCCAATGGTGACGACGGATTTTCCCTAACTTGTACATGTCAGAAGTTGAAAAATAAAAAAATAAAAAATAAAAAAAACGTGGAAAGCTTCATCGTTATGCCATTCCACCGAGAAGAGGCTTCGACCTAAAATGGTGGTTGGTTGGCTACCAAATATTCCATATCTTTTCTTCTCCCTTACTAGAGTGATAGAGGACGCGGAAAGGTAGCTTAGTTCAGCGTCATACGGCAGTAAATAATTCATGTTTTGGCACCTTGATCATTACGAAAGCCGGGACACACTACAAAGAATGAGATCATTACCTTGTATGTTAACCCTCTAATTACACATTATCGCAAAGTAATCACATTATATAAAGCTCAGTTTGCCTCCCAAGACTGCATCTATTACATTAGTGACGTTTAGTTGATTTAATATTTACTTTTTAAAGATGGTTTTATTAATTGGAAATTATTACCATAACTACTAACGTAAACATAGTATTTTTTATCACTTGGACTAGGAGAGCGCTTTGCTAAGACCAAGCGAACAATTTTTCCCTACACATTTTTACGTACATTAGTTACTGGATTTTGGAACAAAAGAAAGTTGACTTGATATACCTAACAGAAATTAATTCTTTACGTGATTTAAGTGAAGAAAGTATAATGTTTGAACTAGCCGCAATGGATTTTCAAGCAATAATTTTTTTCAGACCCCAATCCAGCAAATGTTGATAAGGACTGAGTTACTGTCAATATATTAACGTTATACTATTGCTACTAAGAGCTTTTTAGGCCAGTGACATTTCTTTTTTCTTTTCGCCATCAAGATGCTTTGAAGCTTCGTTCCCGGTCCTTTTAGAGTATAATAGGCTGATTAGCAACAGAACGGGAACGTTATTTGACAATGAGAAAGCGCCCGAAAAGGACTAAACTCGACCTCCGGTTCCCAACTTGCCGCTCCTGCCATTGGCCAAGCCAGTGGCTTGCTTTGCGTGCGCCGTCGTCAAGTGACGTTCCCGTTCTCTTGCTAAGTCAGCCTAATGTGGCGCGCAAGGAACACGTGCCTCAAACCACTTCCTGTCACCTAGCCCTCTCTCGAGCAAACAACAATTAAAAATTAATTTAAAAAAACCAGATTACAGGTGTTTCATCCGGGATTCATCATCTGAAGTGCTTCAAGAGCCTAAACTGCCAATCCCTTAAGCATTTACTCTGAACCTGAACTGCAAAGCATATCCATCATCACTGGTACTAAGATTTGTTAAACAAAGAGTTTGCCTTTATGGATAAAAATATTTAACCGTACTGGATTTGTCATCCTCCATTATTTACTACAAGTAACTACACCACCAACAACCGAGTACTTCGGAATGACACCGAACACTTCCCGATAGCTCAATGACTGTCGCCGATTTAACTGAGTGGTTCAATATCAACAAGCAAGTCTCCTGCCTCTAAGCTCTGGTTAAGACTGACGGAAATTTTGGTGACCGTACCATCGATCGGGGCGCTAACATTTGTCTCCATTTTCATGGCGCTCAGTACAACCAATGGAGCTCCCTTCTTCACAACTTCTTTCTCTTTTACACGGATGCCTACTACCTTCCCGGGCATGGGAGCTCCAACAGAGCCTTTGACTCCTTTGTCAGCTTTAGGATGTCGCTCCAAAGTCTAAAGAATAAAATAAATGCCTTTCAACAGGGAACCGACAACTCTTGTACCCAGATCTCTCGTGGACAAAGATTTGAGGACGAGATAATGTGAATGTGACTAGGGTAAATGACGGACAAAATCGGAGAGGCGAAGTGGCAATTAACGCGGAAAAAGACAGACTATTAATGGCATCTCTCTATTTTTTCGACGCAGAACATAGCTTGCGTGGCAGGTGTTTGGAGAGAATTGGAAGGGGGAATAGAGGCATGCGAGAACGCAATGAGTGCTTCTCTCTCGTGCGCACCCTATATGTACGCACGGGCTTTAATTTCCCTTAAAACGCCTGCCACGCAAGGCACGCAAACTGGAAAAAACGCGACAAATAGCAAAGGAAACGAACGCTTGGAAGCAGGGGAAAAGAATTCAGTTCGTGCGTTTATCAAATAGGGGTGTGAGCAGTCTTCACAACAGTCTGAGACTGCTTAAATGTAAATCGAAACATCGATTACCATAAATCCCCTATTATAAGTCCTCCCTCTCTAATGAGCCCCCCCCCCCACCACCCCCTCTTTTCAGGGGAAAAAATTATTAAGCCCTCTCCCCTCCCTCCGTATTCATCACCACCAAATTAATAAAAGATGGACGGACTGATCCGGTATGGTTAATTCATGTGCTGGAAGTTTGATCTTTGGCTACAAGACCTCTAACGACATGTGCTTGATTATTTCCACTTTGCGTCGGTCGAAGTTCTTTATGGATACCATTTTATGGTACCATTTTATGGTTGTTTGATAAAGCTGTATGGTGCCCCATTTCGGTAAATTAATTAACCCCCCCCTCCACCCCTCCCTTAAATGTGCTTGAAATAAATAAGCCCTCCGGTGCCATAAATGAGGATTTACGGTATTTACTTTAGATTTTCAATCTAAGAGGTCTTTCTTAAAATGGTAAGTACCCTGGTTAATACCTTAGTGACTGATTTGTCCTCCACCATGACTGTCCTGAGTTGCCCGTTCATCTCACAAAACACCTCTCTCTGTCCATTAGGATGCAAGTCGCTGATGGCAAGCACCTTGATGTTCAAAACCTTTCCAGGTTGTAGCTCCACTTGGAATTCCTCGCCGATGTCCGGGCCAGTAAAGAACAGCCTGGTGGGAAGGCCGTGAACGGGACCAAACTCCTCCTTGAACAACATGTAATCTTTGAAGACTTTGGGGTACAGTGCGGCACTGAGAACGTCCTGATCCTGGATGGCATTCTCACCTGATAAACAAAAGCAATGGTGACAAAGATGATTTTCCAGTAAATGACACAGGCTGATCGAAAGAAAAAAGTAAGAGTATTCCCAACAGGAGTCGAACCTATGGAGATATGTCCAGAAATGCAAGCATTGGCGATAATGACGAAAATTCGCCAAACTTTGACGAATATGTTGTGACGAAGCAAAGGGGCTCACGAAAATGGCGAACTCTCGCTAAAGTTTGGCGAATTTTCCTACATGGTGGCTATGGGTCCTCTTTAAGTGTGGCGATTTTAGCCAAGTGAAATTTGGGGAAAATGGCGAATAATCGCCAATGTCTTGACAAAAATTCAAATGAGATGACAACGGGGCCCTTTTGACAGTGGTGATTTCGGCGAAAAATTGAAAAATTGATGAAAATGGCGAATATGGCGAACAATCGCCAAATTATTTTTAAATTATTGTTAACAAAATATCAAACGCATTTCTGGACATAAGTGAACCTATGACCTCCTGTTACTAGTCCAGATGCTCTACCACTAAAGCTTCAGCAGACTTGTGGGAGCAAGAGTGTTATCCTCTCTTAGAAATGCTTTGAAAATCAAAGAGTAAGGTTTTGAAGCTTTTTCTTGCAGGCCACTTGACCACTTGACCCTTTCCTTCCCAGACCAAGTGATGGAGTCAACTTTTGAGTCTGTGGAGGAAATCCTGCAGTGTAACCATTCAAACGAGACCTCTTTGGCAGTACTTTCAATTGGTACAATTTGTATTTTAGCATTTCACAAAATGAAATTTGGAATTTTTGGTTGAAATTTGACTGCAGCCTCTCTCTGGAAATGAAAGGATTAATCTCCTTACTTTCACAAGCGGAAAGGAAAGGCGGAGAGAAATGATCCCTCAGATGCAAATGGTAAGTTTCAAATTACAATTCCACACCGAAGGAAGAAATATTTTTACACAATTTCTTGTCCTTCAGGTCAGGTGGAGACTGGAAAATTGCTAGAAGCAAGGTCAAAAAGCATATCGTACCATACTCATCTTGCAGCTTTTTCTTTAGTCCATCAAAGTCTAGTGGTTCTAATGATTCACCCGGTCTCCCGTCAATGGTGGGGCGACCTTTCAACATCTGTGAAAGAAATGTTAAGGTAACATAAATAACACGTTAATAAATGAATAAACAAATTAACACTCTCCATTCTTATTTCTGAAGGCTTTACTTAATCGAAACTTCTGTGATTTAAAATTTTTCGCATGCAAATGTGGATCATGATAGTACTACGTATTTTGAGCCAAAATGTACTTTTCTCAGTAAAACGGGGGTAGCCTGATGACGTCGTAGCCTTTGACGACGTCACAGTCAGAAGCAGCCGGCCAGTTAGAGATCCCTGTCCGAAATTTGTCACATATGGCCGTGGTTATGTCGAGTTGTAGCTTGAAGACGTTTCCTTAGCAACGGTGTCAAAAAATACGATAATAGGCCCTTAGCCACCTTAGGTACCGTAAACAATACATATAGAAATAAATGAATACTTAAACCAAAAACACCTTGCGTTGCAGCCGGACTTGTCACTCGAGGTGCGAATATACAGTCGACGCTCTCGTAAGCGACCACCTCAGAAATTCGAGAAAGTGGCCGTAACTAGAGCTGGTAGCCTACGCAAACAACCGCACATGACAGTAAAACAATAGAGGGTGGTCGGTTACGAGAGCTTCAGGAAGTCATTAATAATTCATAAAGAAAAACCAAAACAAAAGAAATTAATATTTAATGAGTGTTTTTTTTACCTGATATAGACACGGCTAAAATTTACGTCCAATTTTTTAGATCGAAATAACCCCAAATCAAAATATTTGAATCATAAGCGTAGTGTGCAGTTTCATTGAAGTGTTAATTTGTTCCAAGACTCTGAGTGGTCGCCTACCAGGGCTTTAAAACAAAGGAAAAGTCCAGTTGGGTTATCCAATAAGTGGTCCCGGTCGCTTACGGGAGCGGTCGCTTACAAGAGCCTTAAAACAAAGGAAAATTCCAGTTGGGTAATCCAACAAGTGGTCGCAGTCGCTTACGAGCGCTTTTCATTACAAAGTTTGAGTCACAGTTCAAACAGGGTTTCACAAAGGTGGTCGTAACTAGAGCTGGTCGCTTACAAGAGTGGTCGCAAGGGGAGCTTCGACTGTATATCGGGGATTTCGACTGTCTGCGACGCAGGTTAACAAATAAGATCTAGAGCAGCAGTAGTACATCTACGACCTAGTGGTTCTTTGTCTCCTATTCCGGATCCAATGTAGTACCCACTTGGACGAAAATTTCTCAGAGCAAGAGTGCGTTTCTCAAAACTTGGCCAGAAAAACTATTCAATTTAAGTGCACAAAGTCTGTTAGCAGAAATGTGTTTTTAAAAATTAATAAACTTCAAATAGAAAAATTTGAAAAATTCACAAGATCAAGAAGTATGTTGGCCTACTTGGCACAAAAATTCTCGAGGATGGTTAAAAAAATGGCTGAGAAAAAAAAACAGTCTTCCCGCTGTGCTATCTTTGCTTCTTGATAAAGATAATAAAATTACAAGACGTAATCATCGCGACTGCATTCAAAGTCGAGTTTTGCCTATAATACCCACTCCTCGTTATTCACCGTGGCCTTTTCGTTTCGCGTAACTTAACCCCTAAAAAACGTTCGCCTAAAATACTCGTTTTCCAGATTTGGTGTACGTACATGGAAAGTTTTACCCCGGTGAGAATGTTAAAGAATAGGAGAGAAAAAAATTATTCAGAAAATAAGTACATGAAATGCTTACTAATATCCTGAAATCTGAAAACTCAAACCTCTCCGACAACTTCAATTATTGATATAATGAAAAACATCTAACATTGAACATATTGCAATAACCTTGAAACTTTAGTTCTTTATTAGTTGCGACTTCTTGTATTTCGCGCCAAATATGTAAGTGCAACTTTTTGTAAAATCTTTGTATTTGGTACTCTATATCTTGTTTTACAGTGTAACTACCTGCCTAGAATAGCTATTGCTACTTGCGGGTAGAACCTTCTCCTCCTCAAATTCATGCGACAATAAATAAAGTTGTTGTTGTTGTTGTAACGGGTGCACCCCCGCTGTCTCCCCTTTTCGCTTCTCTCTTCTCCTTTCCCCCAAGAAACGCCCGATATATACGTAGCTGACCTCTCTTTGCTTCTATGAAGAAAATACATACACTGCTCCCCCAACCAATCAGGGGATTTTTTTGTCAAACCAATCAGAGGTGTGTTTCGCTACCTGCTTGCGTTGCCGTGGTCACAAACCAGAAAATGAAGTAACGCCTGTATTCTTTCTTAACTCCAAGTTGACATTAGCTTGAGATGTGATTATACAGCATGAGGTTATTATAACTAATATTATAACTTTTGTGAATAGCAAAGATTCTATTTTTTTGGACAGCACTCTTACAAATCATTAAAGAATAGTAAAACTTGAAACCGTGATTATTATCTGTTCGATTTGTGGCAAACAATTAAAAAATTAGCAGGGCCGTCACAAGAGTCAAAAGATATTAATGAATAAAATTCATAGTTATTTTCGTATTTTAAATAATGATCGAACATATTTCATTTTTTTATGTCAGTTTTCTTGTCTTGTCCAGTTGGGAACTCATTTTAAAATCTATTCTTATCTGTTCGTATCTCCGCATTCAGTTCTCTCTCCTTAGCTAAAACAAACATCAACACCGATAATGCAGTACTTTATATGCATTAAAAGAACAATGTTGTTTTGAACTCTTTGTTTGCCTTTTTGGGCCTGTTAAAAGAGAATTTTTAACGGGGGATGTGACAGCTTAAAATCAATTAAACACAGCTGACAACGAACTGTGAACATCCTATTTCGCCTTTGTATCAACAAACTGAGCGCTGGAAAGTGATTGCAAAAAAAAAATAACAATTAACTGTCTGGTGTTGAAAAGACAGCTGGTTGTATTAGAAGTCGTGATCATCGCGTAGTAAAAAACTACCAGGACTTTTACGGGCAAAAGAAAAACTCGATTAGCACTTTATTTCAATCAATTTTAAGACAAGCGCAACTGCAATCGAAATACAGTTCTTCAGAGTGGATTAACACCAAAGAAAAGGAGCTTACTGGCATTGTGCAGTGAAAAAGATACAGTTTCAAATTCGAAAGTCCTTCAGTTTCAGTCGTTGAATGTCCGCCGTTGGACGCAACCCCCTCCCCGTTGACCTCAACTGGACTATCTTTTGGGCGATATAGTGCCAGTGTTTTTTTGAAACTATCCAATCGTCCCATCATATTGTCCGAAAGTCGTTAACTCCACGCAAGCAAGGGAAGTGACAAAAGATCTCTAAAAGCTGATTTCTCCACGAATAATTTTAAATACTTGTGAAGCACTGGAGGTTCGTGCATTACCGATCTCACGTTTTAGATTGTGGATACAGTGACGCTAATCATGGCCACTTAAGTGGAAGCCGTTCAGCAGCGCGGCTTTTGTTTCTTCGTTAAATTATATTCATATTCAGCTTTTAAATTGTAAGCGCTCTAGAGTACAGTCAAATGTACGTATGGTTTTGGATTATAGGCTGGTTCTTAACAGTTTTAGCTGTGACTGGTAATGCCCTAGTGATCTGGCTTGTCACAACAAAACGACGTCTCCGCACAACAGCGAACTTTTTTATTGTCTCGCTTGCAACCGCCGACTTCTGTGTAGGGTTATTCTTATTTCCAGCCCTGTTCACGTGTAAAAGATGGCCGACGTACTGCACAGCTTATCACAGGCGTGTCATCCTAGCTCACCTTGGTTTTTTTGTACACGCTTCTACGGCGAACTTATGCGCCATGACCGCCGATAGATACATCGCCGTTGCGCTGCCGCTGAGGTACATAGCGTTCATGACTCCACAGCGCAGAATTCGAATGATCGCAACCGCGTGGGTTTTTCCCGCAGTTGCGTGGATAACATACACAGTTTTAGTTCACTATCGCGATGGTTCGACTAGCGTGGTTGTAGTGAACATTGCTATGAAATGCTTGTTTCAAATCCTGCCCACGGTATTGGTAACCATGGCCACTATCCACATGCTAATAATAGTACGGAGACATAAGAAAGAAATCTCGAGCCTCCTCGCTGATTTACGATTCAATAACTGCGCCTCCGAAAAACGTCCGAGCCGCGTCAGACGAAGCCCCGAAGCTTCTTCGACGAAAGTTGTCGGAGTAGTCGTGTTGACATTTGTACTTTGTTACAGCGTCGAAAATTATTTCTCTTTTTGTAAAAACTGTCCAACAATTTTGGTAGACGCAGTTCTGTTACTTTTGGTGTTGAACGCTGCTGCAAATCCTCTGGCCTACGCCTTTTTCAAGAAAGATATTAAAAAGGAGGTTCAAACAGTGCTTAGAAGCGCTAGGAAGAAAGGACTAGGGCAGTCTAGAGCAAAAACCTAACATATAAATGTGCGCAGAGATATTCAATTTCTTGTGGGGCTGCAGGGTGATCTTAACTTTTTCACCAGTGAATAAAGTCCTACAGAATGATAATTCAAATGAAACTATTTTCTTGCGGTATGTTTATTAAACTATTCAACAGCACTAAATCTTAGACATCTTGTAAAATAGTACCAAAAATAGTCTCTTTTCCTCTTTCGGTTCAGATGGACAACTATCAAGTTTCCATTTGTCACCAAACGTAATATTCATGTTTCTAATATGTTCCTTCAGAGCCGAAAGGCTGAGACCCAAAAACTGATTGCAAGGCGTGTGTTCGTTTGCTTTAAAATAAGAAAAGGGATGGAAGACAAAAAGCAAATAATTAACAATTATTCCTCGAGCCCGAATGAGCTCTAAGTCAATAGCCCATGAGGCCGAAGGCCGAATGGACTATTGACTCAGAGGCCATGAGGGCGAGAGGAATAATTGTTTTAGTAAAATCCGACTAGTTGGTCAAAAATATCGAGACAAGACAACTTTGGCTAACAAGACGCGGTTCAGCCGCCATTGTTTTGGTTTTCAAAGCCGGCGCTTTTTGCTAACTAGTAGGCTATAACATTTAGCCTAGTAGTAGCTCAACCAATCAGAATGCAGAATTGATAATAGACCACTAATACTGTATATCTTAGCTAAATTATCTCTATAAATCGAAAACCTATCGTCCTGTGAGTAACATGTTGTTATTTCAAATGTTTGGGAAAAAGTCGATGTACCAGCCGGGCATAAGACTCCAAATATATACTATCTTGTCTTGGCCCTCAAAAGAGTTGAAAATGTCCACCTAGAGCGTCGTGAATAGAGGGAGGGGGAAGGGGTTGGCGAGTTAACTTACTTTGGTTCTGAGTGGTTCAGGGAATCCTCCATGAGGTTGTCCAAGGTAACCCTGCATGAATTCCACTACTGATGAGGGGAAGTCCAGCTCTTCGGCCTTCGCGAGCACGTCACGTTCATCCAGCTTGTTCTGTACCATGAACTGAGCAAGGTCCCCCACAACTTTGGATGTTGGTGTTACCTGACAAAACACAAGTGGATAGTAGGTGACAATTCGTCCGCTTTCAAAAAGGTGTTGTAAAAACAATTTCAAAAATCACTTCTTTGCCCAATGAAAATGTTCAGCGAGACGTAATAAGCCAATTACACCTCGAAGCAAACGCAGGTGGCAACTGTCAAGGCAAGCGTAGGAAAAAACGTGACAACAAGTCACTGTTGAATGGCTAAGAAAGCTCACGAGATTTTTAAGCTAATGGCAAAAGAAAGAGACGCACAACTAATGATTTAGTGACTAGAGTGGATACCCCAAAATCAGGTTAGACACGTCCTGATGAACAGTTTTTTTAATGCAACATTACAGGCAACTTTACTTTACAGGCAATTCATGATCACACAATGCAATACTTGTGGTAGTCACAGAAATATTTACTGGGCACATTTATCGGGAAAAGTGTAAATTGTATTGTTGAGTATCGAGTTTGAAACTGAAACACAGTTATAAGGGCTAAGCACTATTTTACAATGGTTAGCTTTCAAATAATGAAATGATTATGAGCAATGCTATATAAGGTACGTTAAAAATAGCTAGTGTCGGCAGCTAGCCCTTGATAGTATTGTAGACACGGATGTGGATTAGTCAAATGATGCGTGTTTTTTCCTTCTGTTTTCTACCTTCTTTTATCTACTACATTTTTATTTAACTCTTTTCACGGTATTTTAACTGAAGATGGCTACCTGATTTCGGGGTATCCATTCTGGTCACAAACAACCAATGGACGCACCTCAATGACATGTTGATGCTCGAATGAAAATACCGTATTACTCGAGTAAGCGCCGCCCTCGAATAAGCACCGCATTTGGGAGAAAAAGTTAAAAAGCGCCGCGGCGCTTGTTCAAGTAAATACGGTACTTTCAATGGAGAAGATGTCACAGTTGGTAGATTTTGTTGTTTCAGACCCTGTAAGAAACTGGTGCAGGATACTGCACCCTTACCTTGACAATGTCGCCAAGTAGATTGTTAGCCATAGTGTATTTCTTCTTGACATCAGAGAACTGATCTGCAAGCCCCAGGGAGTAGGCCTGGAAGTGTAAGTTTGTATACTGTCCTCCCGGAATCTCGTTATCGTAGACGTCAGCATTTCCGGTTTTCATTGTCACTGTGCTCTCGAATGGCGCGTAAAGCGGCCGAGCTCGCTCCCAGTACTCACTGTATTCATGAACACGCTCTAGTGGAATTCCTTATAAGGAAATAAAAAAGAGTCCTTGAGTGCGATCGGCATGATGGGATATTAATGCGAGTACGTTCTGAAGCTGGACGTACATACAAATCAAAAGCAATGAAACTTTAAGATGGGGCGTTTTCACTCAGGTGCCCAGCATGTATGCAAATTTACTAGAACAAAAGAAAATAACGCAACCGCCCAAGAGAATTGACTTGGTACACTAATAATTATGATCGCCGTTTTATTGTTTTAAGACACTAACATGACGGACTTGACGTCATGTGAAAACGCTAAGAAAAGTATAACATTTGATTACCTATTAATATCATGGGTGACAAATTACGTTACAAATCGAGGATTTTTTACATGTTTACCCTGGATCGTATCGATAGAGAACTCCAATCTCTCAAACGTTTAGAGCTTAAATTTGGCTTAAGTTTGCAATTTTCAGAATTTTTCGACACTGTTAGAATCCTTCTTGATGTGCTCTTTCATGTGTTTAGGTTTTCTAAAGCGTCTTTTAAAGGTGATGTTACAGAAGACGATTCGCAACGACGACTTCTAGCGCAACACAGCGCTGCAATGTTGGAACACTGTTGTAACCATTCGAAACAATGTTGCAAAGTTGTGTTGCGCTAAAAGTCGTCGTTGTGAATCGTCTCGTGTAACATCACCTTAATGTACTGAGACGTACGGAAGGTTGCCATGGCAATTTTGTAATTTCATATGTGAAAGTGCACATTAACGCTGAAATTTCGCGCCAAAATTAAGGAGTAATTCGTCACCTATAATATTATGACAAACATTTCACTTTGTTTATTTTAGCAAGCACCAACGTCAAACCTGTCTCTTTATCCGAGTTTTGCAGAGCAGCAACAACCGCGCCCATGCTTGGCTGTGACGTCATTCCAGAAAGAGAGTCCACAGCAACGTCCACCACGTCGGCCCCAGCCTCCGCCGCGGCCAGCATGGAGGCTACGCCTGCTCCCGCGGTATCATGGGTGTGTATGTGGATAGGCAGCTTGGGAAACTGGGCTCGAAGGGAGCCGACCAACAGCGAAGCGCCATTGGGCTTCAAAACACCAGCCATGTCCTATTACGAAGCAAAAGCAAACCACCAAATAAGACAAGCAGAAAAGCTGGCAGTGATTCTGGTTTGAACCAATGAAAAACGGATAGGAATAAGTCAATTCACCATTTTCACTGAGACCGTAATGCAACTTGTTTACCCCCCTCCCCCCCTCAAAAAAAAGGTTTTCAAATTCCTCCCGGGTGTTACAGTCATCCCAAGAGAAATCGAAGAAAATGGTTATGCAAAATTTTTTTGGGGAAAAAAGGTGCATTAACGTCTCAATGAAGGAAAGTGGTCAATTCGGCCAAATTACATTTCGTTTTAAAGTGCGCATAACGTAAAATTTTTATTATGTTAACCAGGGTTTTCATTAAGAATTCCAGTAGCAGGAGAAAGGTGTAATGTTACAGAAGAATATTTTGAAAGAGGCTCCACGTCTGAATAAAATAATAGCCAGAGCCTACCAAACGTTAGCCGGAGAATTCTGCTTAGTAAACGGGGAATTCTCCGATCTCCGATGCCTAATGAACATCCTAGTTAACTGAAAGAACACATTACTACAAGAAATTTTTCGAAAAAAATCGCGCTTTGAACAAAAATAATGATATTTTTTAGACGTTTTTCAAGTCTAAATTTCTTTGGCACACCTGTTCCGCTGATCACAAATTTGACAGGCTTATAATTATGTGATGTTTAAATTAGCACACACTTGAAGTTACCTTTATGCAAAGTACGTGGATGCCAGATTTCGCTAGTTCTGTGGCCAAGTTCATGTAATAATCAATGTTGTATTTCGAGTTCTTTGGATTGCACACATCGCCAGTGTAAGATATGGCTGCTTCCACTACTCCTCCTGACTGACCGGCTGCTTCAATACCCAACTAATAGAATAACACAGAAAAATCACAGTAAGCCCGCCATGCAAAAGCAACAGCAATACCCCTTTTAAACCTACTGCTGGCAAAATAAAAAATTCACAAAAATGGAATGGAATAACACAGAAAAACCGCAGTAAGCCAGGCTTGCAAAAGCAACAGCAATACCCCTTTCAAACCTACCGGTGGGCAATTTAAAAAATTCACAAAAATTACAGAATCATTTTTTGCAAAATCTTAAGAAATAAATTGCACCATGCAAAAGCTCAGCCAAAGAGGTTTTATTTGAATGGTAACACTACAGGACTAGGTAAGAGTGACGATTCATTCCGTCGAAACAGGGATGGAGTTCAGGGTTTAAAACGGGTGTGATTCCCCTGCGTTTTAGCTGTCGAATCGACCTTTCTTGCCTCGGCAGGAGCTTTCAACCCTCGAGAGAGGAAGGGGGTGGTAGTTCATTCCCATGACACGTTCTAGCGACGTTTGGCCCAACATTAGCCTATAAACAACTACCTATCGAAGCCAAGTTCAGTTAAACTGAACCGTGGCAGGAGTTCGAAAGGGAAGGGGAAGAAAATTGGGACGCGCGAGGGAGAAGGGAGCAGAGAACCGTCGGTTGTATTGAGGTTTTTTTTCATAGTCCTCGAATAAACGCCGCATTCTTCTGACTGGGTGAATCCTTTATTCGAAGTCGGTGTTTATTAGTGTTTGCTTCCATCTGCGCCGTTTAATCGAATAAATATGGTAATGTATTGGTCGCCACCCATAAATAAGGGCGGATCCAGATTTTCATCAGCTGGTGGAAAACAAACAAATGCCATTCACTTCTACTTTACCTGTAAGTTTGGAAGGTAATTCAGGGAGTCGAACACTCTGAAAATATCCATGCCCATCTCATGTGCCTTCTCACAGAATTTGAACACTACATTGTCTGGGTAACTGGTGTAACCTACTGCATTGGCGCCTCTCAGCAACATTTGGAATGGAATGTTTGGGACGGCTTCACGCAGTTGAGCAAGGCGTTCCCACGGACACTCATACAGAAAGCGCAGCGCTACATCAAATGTTGCCCCTGGAAAAGGAGGAAGTAGAATGGGAAATGTTGGTAATATTCAAGATCAAGTTTGAAAAGAAATTATTAACGTTTCATCTTGTAAACGTCATGTGAACTAAGAAGGATTCTTGGCAACAGAGGGTACAGAAAAGGCGGACACTACACCACTGCACACCGCAAAATATCTGCAAGTGCGTGCAAGACGATGCATGCCTAATCTCTCGTGAAGTTAAAGCATAAAGCTGCAAAGAGATAAAATAACCTTACAACTGGCGTTACACTCGGATGCGATTAAAGGTGCTTGGTCACAATTTTTGGTATTGCTTTAAAGTCCTAAAAACACATTGGAATCAAAGAAAACCCTAAAATAACTGTTACATTTTTCTTTTAAATTTTTACTTTAACCGTAAGTGTAATTCTTTGACTTTCGATAGCCAGGATGGAAACAGATTGCAACTTGAGAAAATTGGGCCAACTTTTTCAAGTTAAACTCGGCCTTCCTTGTCGAAAAATGTCCAAAACCTGACCATGCTTTCTTTTCCTAGAATCACTTAATATCTTTCTTGTAGAAGTCCAAGTAGGAGAAAAGATGACTGAGAATACTTGTTTATAAATTCAGATAAGCTTTGACCAAAAAATGTAGAACTCTGTGTCATTATGACACAGCCCCTTCACAGGATTCAAGCAAATAAATGCAACAATTTTTAAGGACTTTCAAGGACCGCATTTGATTTTTAAGGACCACCTGCCAGGAATATATTTCACAGATTTTAGAAAAATGCACACTCCAAGTCCATTCTCACAGGACTGTAACGGCTTGAACTGTTTGCTCCACCAACCTCTCTACATTTTCTGTCTCTATGTTTACTTGTCTGGAATTGACCGTTAATTTTTTCGTAGAACAACAAAACGCTTTATGTAAATCACCTTTAACTTCTCTGAGCAATGATTTATATTCTGTTTTGGACAACCAAAAAGCATTAAGAACACTTTCCAAACCACTACATTCAAAGTTTAAGAAAGTTCAAAGACTTTTCAAGGACTTGCACGGAAATTTAAGGACTTTTGAAGGAAAAATGGACTTTTCGAGTCTGCGAACCATGCCACAAGAGTAGTCAATGGACTCACCTCCCCAACATTCCAAGCTGTAAGCGTTGGCTAGATAATGTGACACAAATGGAGCCACTTTGAGCATGTCATGAGTTCTCACTCTGGTGGCCAGAAGTGATTGATGAGCATCTCTGAATGTTGTGTCAGTCAGCAGAAGTCTATTGCTCTTACGCACACAGCTAGCAAAGCCTTCTGGTCCCTGCTGAAGTAGCACATCTCGCAAGCCACTAGGTCGCATGTAAAAGTCCGAATTTCCAGATGCTTTTGGAACCTTACGTGAAACAAAAAGAGATGAAATTTCTTTGTCTAATATCGACATTTCGTGAGACTCTCGAGCTAACTGGCTCCCAGTACGATAGTTGTTAGTTGATTTCTTATTAACAACACAACAAAGACATCAGTAGATTCGAACCCAACTTCGAAGTAGCCAATACAAGTACGCCCAACTAGGAGAAAAAGGCATCATTGGAGCTTATTAGAAAGGGGCTACTTACACGCTAATCTGAGAAAACAGCCAACATTTCGCGACGTCACCACTGGTTTCCGCGCGAAATGACGTCTGAGGAGCGAGCACAGAAATTCCATACTGATGACGTGTCGCTACCCAGGTCTAGGTAGTGCTTCTGATTGGTTGAAGCAATTAATCTTCCTTGCGGCACAGCCAATAAGAAGCACCACCCAGATCAAGGAAGTGACACGTCATCAGTATTGAATTTATGAGCTCGTTTCGTCAGATGTCATTTCGCAGGGTAACTGTTGTTTTCGTCGCGAGATGTCCCATGTTTTTTCAGTCTACTTAGGGGTTATTCCCATGATACCAGAACGACTTTCATTCTGGAACGAGTTCATTCCATCTTTAAATATTTCTCTGTGTTTCTTTACGTGATACCGAGACGACATTTCGTTCCAGTACAAGTCATTCCACAATGAGTTCATCCCGGTTTTTATTCCGAATAAAACGCTTGTTCTGGTACGAAATTTTTATCCTGGTATCATGTAAACTGAACACGAACTTTGTTCCGGATTGAAAATAGCAAATCGTGTAGTCCAGGGCAAGTGGCGCATGCGTACAAACGAGAACGCCTTAGGCTGAGCCATTTGATTTTATCATGGGAATGCAATACGAACTTCACTCTGGAACGAAACTCATTCTGGAATGCAAGTAACTGCGGTGTCATATAAACAGAAACTTGTAGGACAAGGGCTAAGGAAATGCGGTGCTCACCTCTGGGGCTACTGGCGCGTCTTTTGATGGCTTGAGACCTGTTGCCAGAGGGGTACAGGGTCCATTCACCATCACATTTCCAATGTATTGGAGTAGTTTCTGGGCGCGGTTCTGTCCTCGCTCTACCTTGAGAAGTTCTGGTTTGTTCATAATAAAATCTGTGGTCACAGCACTTCCGAGAAACTCTTCCTCGTTGAGCACATTTATTACGAAAGGGATATTAGTCTGCAAACCAAAGCAAATGACATTTTAGGCTTAAGCAAGTTGTTTTAAATGACACTGACTGTCATACTTCGTATGACCTTGAAATGAAAACGCGCAAACAAAACAGAAACAACAAACTAACGGAAATAAAGCGATTTGATTGATTTATCGAACGGATACAAACGCGCGTGACTTTTGGTTGGTTAAACGAACACTCGGGTGAAAAAAACTTCATGCCCGAGAACTTTCTAGAAATCAACCGATACTTTGCTTTGACATCATACTGCAACACGATTGGCCAATCGAACAATGCCTTCTCCATATTAGGGTTTTCTTTGGCGAGAAAACGAAGAGGCCACGTTTTGATTTTTCATCCACTGGCTGATAAAAAAAGTAACGAACACTTAACGAAATCATTTTTCAAGGTCATACGAAAATTCCTCTAATGCGTGGCTTAGCCAAACCAAATGACGGTCGACGGAAAAAAACAACTCGAACGGCTGAAGCGAAAGGAGACAAGTTTCTCAAGCGGCAGGTTAAAAAAAACGCACCTTATTTGATTGTCAATTTACTTAGCGTAAGGTAGGACTATCGTTACCTACCCTACCGGAGACGGGACCGCCACTTTACGTGGTGATGACATCCGAGCTACGGGAAGCAAGGTCTAGCCATTTGCTCGGCAAAGGCAATACCTTCATTTCTCAGTTATTTTAAGACCTCGAGTTTTGGTCCGGTCCCGGGAATCGAACCCACCACCTCCCGCTCTGCAGTCAAGCGCTCTACCGACTGAGCTAATCCCGCTGCGGTTATCGAATGCAATGCATGCAAAACACGCAAGATAATTGAATCTTCTGGTCAAAAGTACTGAGCTTTGGTGCCCCTGCTCAAAATATAATTAAACTAAGTATTATAACTGCCATCACTTATTCCATCCAGAGCATACACTATAAACGGTCATAAACTGGGTTAAAACCTGCCTATTAAGTTAAATTTCGTAATAAAACAGGCGGGATAGGCTAGCCCTTGCTGGAAATCTTGAAGTCGTCTTTTGTTTGTGTGTTTTCTATTTTTTGTTTGCTTCTGTCTGTTTCCTTTAATCAAATTTTTTTTTAATTACCGACTATTAAACACATAGGGTGTCAGTAAAACGCGGGGCCGGGGCCGGGGCCGGGGACAGGGTCGGGGCCGGGGACAGGGTCGGGGCCGGGGTCGGGGTCGGGGTCGGGGCCGGGGTCGGGGTCGGGGTCAGGGCCGGGGTCGGGGTCGGGGTCGGGGTCGGGGCCGGGGTCGGGGTCGGGGTCGGGGCCGGGGTAGGGGTCTATCTTTTTTTTTTAAAGAATGCTGTTTTAGGTTAGGGTTAGGGTTGACACTAACCCTAACCCTAACCTTAACTCTAACGCTAAAACAGCATTCTTTAAAAACAAGGTAGACCCCGACCCCGCGCTCTACCGACACCCAAACACATATGTATGTACTGATTACCTTGACACCTCGGACACGGAATTCACGTAATGCTCGAAGTAACTTGGTTGCTGCATCTCTGTGGTTTGACCCATGACTTATGACTTTGGTCAACAGTGAATCATAGTGAGGAGAGATGACGGCGCCTGGGAACATAGAGTTTCCATCAAGACGGATCCCCATTCCTTCACCTGTGCGGAAAACCTTGCAGAGAATGAAATATTCAAATGGTTACAATTGGAAATTTTGAAGTCAACTGGCACTACCTCTCGCTTGCTACCCTCCCCCCACCCCCATGCTCGCGTCAGTGCTCACGTTCATCGAATGAAAATCAATCATTCAATCAATCAATACGCTGCCTGCGAACAAGCTCTCCATTTGGAAGAGTCGCGAGGAGTCATGCGAGCTGGCGAGGAGTCATGCGAGATGGTGCGTTCGCTTACGGTTCGTTCTGCTCTCCATACATGGAGAGCTTGCTAGCACGCTAGAAAATACGATACAGTAGAACCCCGTTAATTCGACCACCGTTGGGCCATAAAATCCTGGTCAAAAACCGAGGTGGTCGCATTAACGGGGTTCATAGAATAATAAAATGACTCAGTGACTTTTCGTTTGTGTCGAAAGAATAATTATGGTGTTGTAATTTAAACAGGGTGGTCATAAGGCGGGGTTCCACTGTATTAAAAAAAGAGGGCTGTGACAAATAACTGGATCCTACCTGGGTCTTCGAGGCCATTTGCCCTGGGATACGTTATGCAAATGACGCTACGCTACCCTAGAGGTGGGGGAGCCACAGCTCCAATAATGCAGAGGAACGAGGGAGAGTCGCCAGAGGGGATAGGGGGTACGACAAGCAACCCCTGGACTGGAAATTCCAGGGAGGGTAGGGATTCTAATGCAAAAGTGCCCTGCATTGGAAGGGGGGTATACATATTTTCTGGAACTGTACATAAACAGGAATGACAAGAAGAGCATTGCTTTCATGAGGGCCCCAGTCAAAATAGTCTAAGCTGTTCCTGGTCGAGATCCTATAAACAAAAACTTTCAATAGGCAAAGACCATAATTTGCCATATAGGGAGTGGTTCACCTGTAGTCTTTAATAACTTAAATTGTACTGTTTCCATTCTTAAACAAAGAAACAGTTGGTGCTCAACAGATCTGTGCACAGTAAATCAAGCTGGTACCTCAATGCGACCAGTGTCTGGTGTGAAGTCCCTTGCTGGGTCTTCTGTTGTGATACGAGCCTGAATTGCAGCTCCATTGACTTGAACGTCATCTTGACGAAGTCCAATCTCCTCCAGACTTTTCCCTTCAGCCACACCGATTTGTGCTCTTACCAAGTCAACACTGTGAGATAAAGTGCCATGACATAAAATTATAGCACTCATATTTTATATTTGATAAAAGCTCTCTGTTAACTGAAGCTATGCTGTTCTTGCAGGGATCAGCTTAATGCTCTGAACCTGTGAAATCCAGGGTGCCAATTATTTAATCTTTTTATGCAAAAGTTAATTGAGAGCAAAGATAAGGAACCAAGTGCCATAGCAGTGGCAGATCTAGGGGAGGGGTCCTGGGGGTCTAGAACCCCCCTTCCGAACTGACGCTTGTTTGAGACTGGAATTCTTACATCGACAGGATCGCATATCACTTTTTAACTCACTGAGTTATTTAAATGAAACACGCATTGCATTTTGCCACTAAACTAAATTCCAGGGATATTCAAAAATGTAATTCTTTTTGGGTACCCTCCTATGACCTGTTCGCCTCTGCCTCTGCTTGCAAAGCAGTACTTCCCGTGCCAGCGGTGACTGGTGTTCACGGATTGAGAAACACATGGTCATCTCTGTGAGAAGTAATTTGCCACAAGTTTAACAGGGGGACCCCCCCCCCAACCAAAAATTCCTGGATCCGCCCCGCATAATGCTAGAAAACAGCCTTAACTCTTAGCACCCCTCCCTTTTCTCCTCCCTCCATCCCTCCCTCCCTCCCTCCAACCTACCCAGTTATTTCTTCTGTCACAGTGTGTTCCACTTGCAGCCTTGCGTTCACCTCCATAAAATAATGATGCCCCTCTGGATCAAGCAAAAACTCTACTGTTCCTGCATTCTCATATCCTACAGCTTTACACAGTTTGATTGCATCACTTGTCATCTTGTCCCTGATTTCAGGGTCCAGGAATGGAGCTGGGGCGATTTCGATTATTTTCTGGTGACGACGCTGTACTGAACAATCCCGTTCATAAAGATGGACCACATCTCCATAAGCATCACCCATCACTTGGACCTCTATGTGCCTTGGTTTTGCTGGAAAAATTACAATAATATAACAAAAATGTTCATGGCATTAAAAAAAATTTGGTCACTCATTTGCTTCTATTGTTTAACAAATAAGGGTAAGATGAGTTCCTGCAGTATTTTGTAATTCTGCCCTCTTCTGATGAAACAACAGCTAAATTAAAAGGTGTTTCGAATAAGGTCCTACAAAGTGACACATGAATCCCTCTTTGACTCACAAAGATTGCAAAGTGAAGGGAGAATCCAGTTGCTCGTTTAGAAGTCACTTGAGACCTTATTCCAGGTACAGCTGTACCCTTTCAACTACATGAAAGCAGACTAAAACAATGAAAACTGGTACACACTTCAGTTGACAAATCAAAATTGCCAACTTAAAAATACATAATCATGTATGAGTTGCAAAGCAGAAAGAAGTGGGTTATATGCTTCTGTTGCAAAGCCATTTAGTTGTTCTTTTTATTTTTGGCTTTCACACACACGGCCAGTGACAAGACTCATATACACATGTACATGTACTCACGAACAAATCTTTCAATAAACATGGAACCATCCCCGAAAGCTGCAAATGCTTCATTGCTGGCCAAATTAAAGTACTCCTCCACTTCTTCCAACCTGTTAATAACTCTCATACCACGCCCACCACCTCCATATGCCGCTTTTGTAATCACAGGTAGCCCATGCTCCTCACAGAATGCCTTAGCTTCTTCAGCACTTTTTATTGGTGTCTCTGTGCCTGGTACCACAGGCACACCAGCATTAATGGCTACTTTCCGTGCTTCTACTTTGTCACCCATAAGTTTGACAATTGAGGGAGAAGGTCCAATGAAAACAATACCATTCTTTACACAAGCTTCTGCAAAATTAGCTCTTTCTGATAGAAATCCATATCCTGGATGAATGGCATCTGCATTTGTATCCTTTGATATTGAGTATGGAATATATTAACAATCAGATTGATAATTAAAATCCTTAAACATTTATTACAGTATGTAATTCTCCAAAGCCAGGAGATGAAAACTGGGTTGAGATCATTACATTTGGCAGTTGAATTAACAAATGGTTTTAAGACCCGAACTGAGTTATTATACATCAGAAACACCTCAGAAAGGATCTTGGGGTTAATTTAGTGAATTTTCCCTGAATCTGTTAAGGCTACAAAAATTATGGTTAACTTTAAAATTACTGCGCTTTTCACAAACATACGAATTCTGAAGTTCAAAAGCCAAAAGACGATTACGGTTTTCGCTGCCGTCAATCATCTTAACAGACCTCTTAGGAAACAAAACTTTACTTTAACAGGTTCAATAGGTCATGGTTTGTGATTTGTGATTGGTGGATTTCAATCCGTTTTGTGTGTTTCTGTGTTTCAAGATTTGTTGCTTGTGATCGTAATTATGATTGACCGCAGTGCAAAACGCAATTGTGAAGGCAGCTTTTGAACTTTAGAGTTTGCATGTTTGTGAAAAGCGCAGTAAACTCCAGTCCCCCCCAAAAAGGACAAAAAACATGACAACCAAGTTACAGTTTCTACAATCAGTTTTTGAAATATAAATATCAGTACGATTTTATCTATATCTAATTGAAAATAAAACAATAACAATCATGGGTGTCTAACTGATTCTTTAAATCTATTGACTGACTACTGAGGTAAATACATAAAATATTTCTGCAATATCAAACGCCCAACTCATAAAATTAAGGTCATTAGAAATTCAAGGGAGAGGATGGTTTAAACTTTTATTTAAAGTCTGAATTTTTTAAAAGGCAAGTCTAAGCCTAAAAAACTGGAATAAATTCTGGAAGGGCATGCATGTATGGGGAAGGATCAAAACAATTAGCAAACACCCTATAAGACAGGGCTTCTGATATTTCGCACGGTCGCGGACCCACGAAATTCAGGTATTTCCGCGAAATCCCGCGAAATCCGCCAGAAATATTTCCAAATACATGTCGGCAAAACATATTTAATACTTATCTTGGCTATTACACCTGTTTTATTCACCCCAAACGTCCAAATTTATCTTGAAACTTCGTCACTGCAATGAGTAAACAACGTCCCAAAACTACCACACGTTTTTAGATGAACGTTGCGAAAAACTGGGCACTAACCATAATGTTAATAGCTTTAGCATTCGCTCATTTCTCGAGTAAACTGTTGTTGAAAGAGCAAATGATTATCCCTGTTAAAAAAACGTTAAACATCGCTGGTCATATTGACGCAAAATTGATCGATTTTAGCGAAATTTGCCAAAAAAAATCCAGCCAAATGGGCTGTTTCTTACTGATTGTTTCTTGGCGAAGTTTCCCCCGAAATTTCCCATGAAATCGGCCGATTTTTCTAAGAATTTGCCCCTGAAAATCCTCTGAAATTTGATTTTTTTCCGCTAAAATCCCGAGAAATCGGCCTACTTTTCTGCGAATTTTTGACTTTTCTCCCGCGAAAATCTCGCAAAATCAGCCAATTTTCCACGAATTTTGACTTTTTTCCCACAAAAATTCCGTGAAATTGGCCGATTTTTCCGCGAATTTGCCCCTGAAAATCCCGCGAAATTTTGCTTTTTTTTCCGCGAAATATCAGAAGCCCTCAATTAAGACCGAGTATGGGAGCTTTTGTCAACAAACTGTAGTACAGTCTACTAAATAAATAAATACTGATTTGGAGGTAGCACATCCACAAAGTGGTTCTTCGTCTACCTGATTCCAGATCGAATTGGAATTTGGAAATGTTGGTTTTTGAGGAGAGGGGAAAACCGTAGCCTGCGTTGCAGCTGGCCCACGCACTCGTCTAAACCATTAATATAATCCGTCTGTGAATTAGTGCACAAAAGCTTGTTCTAATATCCAGCAGAGTTGCAAGAACATACGTGAGCATTTCTGATAGGCGGGTTTCTTACGGGTTTCTTATGCACTTCACGATTGGCCTAATTCTTGCGTGTGCGTGACAGTTGACTGAAGGGAGTTGACAAGGATCGTTTACAGTAAACAATGAGAGGGCAGTTCTAGCGTCAAAACAAATTAGGAAATCATGATATTGATGGCCAAAAAAACACTACACACATGTAGCTATTCAGGTCCAGGCATTTAAAAGAAAACAAAGAAACCAGGTTATTTAGCCGCAATAAAAAAGCTTAAGCTTAAACAGAGGTAAAAGAAACTGCATCTGTGATCAAATCCTGTTAGAAAACATTTGTGAAAACATAAACCACAGTAACTAATTACTCAATATGCAACTACGCAAAAAGAGAGCAAGAAAAACCTCTATTGTTCAAGCTGACTCTAAGGTCACGTTTCACACTATCACAAGGTCAATCCATCTCTTGTCACGAGCTATTAGTCGTGTTTGGCCTGTCAACACTTACAGGTTGTAATTCAAATCGGACTAATCACAAACCTAATCACTAGCAAATTAAAAATGCTGACATATGTCCTTGCGACCCTGCAGGATTCGAACATGATATTGTGCAATCTATTGCAGGCAAGAAAACCGGAGTGCCCAGAGAAAAACCTCTCGGAGCACAGGAGAGAACCAACAACAGTCGATTGTTGATATGGTTACACTGAAGCATTCAAAATAGCTCTTGCAAGTTAAAGGTACCTATATTTCTTCAAATTTTGTGAGGGGAGTGCATGCACATGTAAGCGTCAAGCGGCGAAGCTGCGAGATGCCAGAAGAGAGGGTGGCAGCCGTGGCAAATGAAATGTATGCGTTGGCCTCACAACGCAAAATACAATTGGCTGATGCATGAAGTGTTGACAACAAACTGTCAACAATCGAAACCATTCACGAGTTAATGATGGCTGAAGCACTGCAGGAATGTGTGTCACATTTTCCACAAAATAGAAACATTAGATACAGAGCAAAGAGAAGCATTAGAAGGTCTCATCTCTCCAGGTATGTGACATGATCGCAATTTAAATGCTCAAAGCCTCTCTTCACTGATGAGGAACACTTTGGTTCCAAAACTGCATGCGGTCTTGCTTAGAAAGAACAGAAAGTTGCATATAGACTACAAGACTCTTAGACCAGTGATTTTTTTTTTTTTTAACTGCGGGACTCATTGGCTATGGACAAGGACTCATGAATTTTCAATATATCAAGGCTCAAAGTTTAAATTTGAGTTTGGGAGCACTTGTGCTACCAGATGTAAATTTTTAGGCACACTGCCGAAATTTTAAGCACACAGCTGAAAATTTTAGGAGCACAGCTTATGTTGGGAGCATCTATTTCGAACAAAAGAAAAAGTAAAGTCTTGTTTGTCATTTTCAGTTTGTTCTTTTACTTCAGTCCTGTGATTGATAAAACACAGCCGATTTGCTATGCAGTAATACCGTTGTGATTTTTAATACTAATTTCTCTTTTTGACAGTACAGTTGTGACTAAAGAAAACTTACACTTGAAAAACAATTCAAAACTGACAACAATGAGTGTGTCGAACAAGAATGAAAATTAATCTTTAATGAATTTTTGCGCAATGACTTACATGTAACTGGAATACGAAATAAAAAACTTTCTTACCTGGAAAAAAAGGCTCTTAATCCGCACTGTTTTTGTTTTGATTGACGTTAAAACTGAACGTTCGACATGATCAAGCATATATTTGCATGTGTCAGCGGTGTTTATTACAAAACAGAAGAGTCTGGGATAGAGTAAAACATCGAAATGAAAAAGAACATTCGAGTTCGTAGAATCCATTGAGAGAAAAGACCAATTAAACATGCGCTGTCTTTCTAGTTCGAGTTCGTAAGTATAGTCGGAAGTCAGTCAGTCACACTGTGCTTTGAGTTTTATGGTGCACAGGTGCGATTACACATGAATTTTTAGGCGCACAACCAAAAATCCAGTCGCATATGCGACCAGTTAGTCGCTAACTTTGAGCCCTGTATATAGATGAGTCCCAGGACTCACCATAACTAATTGTAACAAAATCACTGTTGGACTGTTTATTTTAAAAAGCTAAAACAAAAGTAATTACCAACGGATGCACTAGAGGACATCACGCTATAGAACAAAGATTCAGTTACTTTGAATCTCAAGAAGAAGAAAAAACAAAAATCAAATTTAGCAAATAGGCTCCCAAAGAATGGTCTTGAATGATTTGCAGGACAATTCTCTACAGCTGGCTTAGCTTTAGTTGAGCTACGATTAGGAAACTTAGAACACTATCTGGTGAGAATTCAACATCCCACAAACAAGAAAAGAGCTAGGCCTTGCATGATCTCATTCAAGACATAAGCCACAGGAAATCTGCTGACCAGCTTCATGGCCTCTAAATGTGAGACTAGTGGCCAAAATTATGATTTGCTCAGTCAATTGGTTTAGAATCGACATTATGCACTGCATAAGCTACATGTTAAAAAGAAATGAAGGGAAACCTCTGTTGTTCAAGCAACTTCTTGGCCTATGACAACACTTCAGTTTTCATACCCAAAAAATCACTAGACCGTGAAAGACCATTCTCCCTGGCTTTGCGGGTAGTCTCTCTCTTTTCATGCCTCTCCTGTCTCGCATCTTCAGTCATGCGCATGGTCATTTGTGTGTCTCGCACATTTACATTTTGGTTGATGGACCAAGAAAAAAAGAGAGAGTGCTTGTTTTGACACACTTTTTTTAGTCCGGTTATAAGCACCCCCCCCCTTCCCCCCCCACCCCCCCCCCCCCCAAATATAAGCCCCTTCATTTATAAGCCCTCTAAAACCCCTTACGAAGTTGTATAAGCCCAAGGCTTATAATCGGAAGTTTACAGTATATAAAAAATAATTAACTAATGGCACCAACCTTAGCTATTTTGATGATCTCCGGAATATTCAAATAAGCTGCTACAGGAGGCATTCCTTTGCCTATAAGATAAGCTTCATCAGCCTTCTGTCTGTGCATAAGATTGGCATCTTGTTCAGAATAAATAGCAACAGTCTCAATTCCTGCTTCTGCAGCAGCTCGGAAAACCCTGATAGCAATTTCACCACGATTTGCTACAAGAAGTTTTTTTATCTCGCTCCTTTGAGGCTCCGGCTTTTCACTTGCGCAGTATTTCTGCCCAGCATGGATGTATCTACATGCTGACCATATTCCACTGCTTGAAGTGAACTGCTGTTGAAGGATTCTCTTGAAACGTGAAGCGTGAACTCGTAACATTTTTACTTTGGATACTTCACTTTTATAGCCACTCAGTAACTAGGAACAGATAGCCTGAAATAGAAATAGCAAGAAACAATATTACAAAACAGGCCTTCAGGATTATTAATAAAGGATTCTGTTATCATTTATTACTGTGTGACATTGCACATTCCATCAAAAATTACTCCATGTATATCACACATACCATAAAAAATCCATAATATGACCAGATTAAAAACATGTTAAAGCTGGAAGCATCATGCAGAGCCTCTAAATCTCAAGATCTAATGTTTCCTAGAGGATGAAAGAAAGAGTCCGATATGGATCTACATGTAGTCAAGCAAACTTGCCTAAATACATGGATGTAGTGTATACCAGACCTTTATGCCACATAAATGTGACGTGTCCCATAAATTCTGCAAATTATATTTCCCAATATTTGCCTTAAGCTGTTACAAGATCTTTCACAGTAGTTATATACATGACAGTAAAATAATACCTCAGCCTACAATTAATTTGGAACCTCACAGATGCTGGAAACAGCCAGAAAAATGTCATTGATGCAAAAGTTCAAAACAAACCTTGTAAACAAGATCTGAGCTAGAAAAACCCAATACCTTGAACAACACACTTTCACAAAAAATCTTTCTGCACAATAATTCAGCCCATCATAAAGACAGAGGAACAACATAAAATGAACAGCACATGCTGGTCACAAGACTTGAACACATCTTATCTGTATTAACTCACTACATTAATTTAGTTTTCTGTTTATTTGATTTAAAAGGAAACAACCTGATCACAACTTGTTTGTCACAAAATATCTTAGCATCTTAATGTGACAGGAAGCATGACTACTTCAGGGTCATGCCAACATACATGAATATAGATAATAATGTTGTCACTATTTTGTGTGGTGTGATGGCTGGCTGGGATTAGCTGTTGGGCCCTGGGCCCAGTTGTTCGAAGGCCGATTAGCGCTAACCCAGGGTTAAATTTTAACCCGGGTTTCTTTTTCTTTTGTTCTAAAGTATTTTCCAGGGTAATTTCTTTTCTTCTTTTTAGAGCATCCAATCATCAAATTGTTGGCAGAAAGAATAAAACTGATTTTGCTTCTCAAGCTTTCACATCTGAAATCAATTTCGCACTAACCCTGGGTTAACTTAACCCTTCTTTGAACAACCCGGCCCTGGAGTTAAGTTTATTGCTCTGTGGTTTTTTTTTCTGTTATGTCAGCATAAAATTTAGTCCAGCACTAGACATTGCTTATACATAAATAATTCTTTAAGGAAATTCTAACTTCAATAATTATTTAGAACTATGATAATTTATTGTTATGTTTGCTTCTATTTTTTATGACACCTGCTACATGTATGTGGTACACTGTGATGCGCCGATCAATTCGAAAAATTCAGTATCCGCCCCCCCCCCCCCTGCAGCAAACCCAAACGTCCCCACATAAGCTACAGTGATTACAGTCCCTCTATTTTTCTTGCCTCCTACTGAACTGCCCTCCGCCACCCGAGCAGATTTGGCACTCATTGCATCCAACATGGGCACCGGTAATGCAAGGTGCTCAATTTCAATGATCTTACAGAAAAATAGACGAAAAATAGAAAAATGTGAACAGTCTAGTCAGCAACCTTCTATCAAGTCCTGACTCCCTCACACCCTGGCCTCCCCCCACCCCTGACTCTAACAAAAACATTAGTTACACTGCCTCCCCCACAGGATTTCTCAAGGCTCAGTGGGAAACACACAATTTGCGAGAGCTGGAGACAAGCGAGAAGCACAAGAGGGTTGATGGTGGGAGGAATGAGCATGGAGCACGAGCAGGGAGTGCTTGTTGTCCCCTTCCCATCACTTCCTCCATTAACGCCTTCCTTAATAATTAACTCAATTATCCCCCAAAAAGTGATCACGAGTGACTGAGGACGAGGAGGTTAGTTACAAGCATAGTTTAAATTACATGTATCTATATTTACTCATAGCTGCATTTAAACTTCCATTAATTAATATAAGAGCGCAGTTACTTATTTCTTGTGCCTGTAGATTTTTTTTTTGGCTTTTTAACCCAGGGAGGCGAGAAATAGAGAACTTAATTGTTCAGTGCAAAGATTTTAATTTTAGATGCTATAATGAACTTGGTCTCCTGATGATTCATCTGAGTTGTTTATCACTTTAATTTCAATTACTGTGTCAGTATTTTTCAAAAGCATTCATTACAACTTTTGAAAGAGGTTCATGAATAAATCATGATTTCTTTTTTGCAATAATATTCTTACCTCATGAAGGATTTTTGTCAGTGTTTCGAAAGAAACAAGGAACTTAACAGAATCGAAAGAAATAGAATGGTAAAAATGTAAATAACAATTATTAACCTCTCAATTTACCGCTTCTGTCTAGAAAGTAGAATTTTTGCTCCCCTAAGACGTTAATATTGGTGGGGTTTAATTTTCAATGAACTCCAGTTTGACACGAACACAAACAGATGAAGTCACAAATATCATAGTAGGTTACGATGCAATTTAAGGCAAAATAAAAAATCCAATTATCTTTGCCACGAGTAAGTTTTACGAGTACACGTTACAAAAAACATTTGAATACAATTGAATGAATAAACTTAAAATTTCTGATCATTTTGATTCAATGATTCAACCACAACAAAAAGTAAGATTAACTTAACTCAGGCAGTACGTCATTTACCTGATAAAACTGCGACCATTCCCTGCAGAAATAAAAGCACAACGGTTTCAAAAAGTTTCCATCACTGACAAAAATCGTTCGCCTTTTCACGCACGAGCCCAAGCGTTTACACAAGCCTAAAAGTTCAAAGGACAACACATGGAGCAAGACATGAGAACACGCACGAACCCGAAAAAGAATTTGGAGCAGCGGAACATGCGACACGGAATGAAAGACCAAACAAGAGAAAAATATCACTGTACCTCTACAAACTGACGTTCCCAAACGTGAGATGGCAAGAGATTTGAGTAGACATCACCAAGCTCGAAGAGAAAAAACAACTGCTTGCGCCCGCATTCCTCTGAGAACCCGTAATGGACCGTCATGTCACCGTGACCCACCAGCAGGGGTCCACTCAAAATATTGAAAAAGTCACACAACAACAATTTTTCTCTTTTTTCTTTTTTGAAGTGAGGTTTCTACACGAAGATCCGCATAGATTTGTCTTGCTGATTTCACTGTTTCACCAGATGAAGGGCATGCCGTGAATGTCTACGCCTTCTCCCTTTGCCTTGGGCCCCAGGATCAGATGTTACCCCGGGAAGGGGGGGGGGTCACCTGGGAATCTTGGTCGGGGTGTGCCGCTCGGTTCTCCAAATCCTCATTTTCCACACCCTTACGCGTCTTCACACCAGGCTTCTAAACTCCATACCTGTTGTAAAACCTGGTCTTTAGGCAGAATTATGTCATCCGAGATTAGAGCACAAACAAAAAATTCTTAAAATTCATTTCGAATTCGCATAATATTTCTATTTCGTTCTTATTCAATTGGAATTTAAACGATGACTACATTTATACACTCCTGTAGTTTCCTCGAAGATCATACCCGATTCCAGACCAAGTGGGCAAAGTGTATACCCGTTTTCAGACCAAAAAGGCCCAAAACCCGAGCCTTTGGGGAGGCACATACCTCAGTGTGTATGGCTAATATAAGGGAGTACCCCCCCCCCGGGCATGTTACTCCAGTGAAAGACTAGAGGGCTCATCTAAGATGATGAGTTTTTGACTCAGTTTTATACAAAGTGGGCTCGATGGCTACTCTTGAACGTGAATGATGAAGGTAGTAGAAAATTCACCCTGTTCCAAAAAAAAAAAATTGGTAATTTGGTCTAATTTCGGAGGAGGAGATCATTTTTATGCCCTGTTTTAGAGACGTAGCCCATATAATTTATACTGAGAAACCCTGCACGACCCATTTTCTTGAACGCGCTTCCTGAATAGGGCGTAGGGTGATCTCTCCTCTGATCTAGCCTCCAACGTGTTAGGAAGGCTTCCACACGCGTTGAGAGGATTGCGTTGTAATATAGTCGAGTGAGATTTGACGGCGGAGCCGTCACGAGCGGCTCGTCCCTACTCCCTTTTTTTGGAACACGGCTCCACCGCCAAAACTTTAATCTCGCACCCACATAATACCGCCAGCTACGCAGGTTAAAAAGAGGGCTCAGGAGAGTGCTCTTTTCTGTTCGCGCTCTTCTAGGTTACCCCGACAAGACCCCACACTCCTTCCACACTCCAGGAATAAAGGGTTCCTGTGCCGGAACCCAGGCCCTTGGAGCAATAATCAAGATGGCGGCACTCTCAGCTGGATGAATTGCTTTGAAAGTGATTTGAAAATAATTCCTCAAACCCCGACTCTATCGGAAAAGTCAAAAGGATATTTAACGGATACCGACCATTCTCTATGACTGACGACTCCAAATTTGCGATAGTTTCTCCGAAATCGGTTAAATTATACGCTGAGATTGTTGGCGCGCAAGGTTTGACAGATGACCTTGCAAGTTCTTTGGCGGAAGATGTGACCTACAGACTTCGCGAGACCCTTCAGGCAAGTCTGATCACCACAGGATTTCTTTGTTGAGTTTATATTAAATAATCATCTCGTAACTTGCAACAAACCCACAGAGCGCATCTCAGTATATGAAGCATGCCAAGAGAAGACGGCTCACATGCGAAGATTTCAACAAAGCATTAGAAAGGAGCAGTACTGAGGTGACAAATTAAAGCTGTGTTGTTATTGCACTCATGAATATTACGTGAAACGGAAGCATGCGAAATTTAAGGCCTTCACAAGTCTTCGACAACTTCGTTGTTGGGTTTTTGAAGAAACTCCAAACTCCGCGGCCGAAAATTTTTCCTGGCATAGGGTTACCCCCCGCAAAAATTAGCCTCAGAAATAGAATTATTTAATTATTACTGTATTTTCTATTCACCCTTCAGAAATTGACGTTTAGAATTTACAACAATCCTCTCTCCTGACCCTCTCAATAAAATCTCACAGACCTATAGTGATCCCTTCAGGAAATCTAACCCATAGTGGGAGGGTTCAAGGAGGGGTGGTGGATGCAAAATGTAATGGCCCAAGTGGGTGTAGATAAAAATAGAAGTTTGCTTTCATAATTAATGCAGGATACTCACTGATAAACCTGAATGATAAACCACTGATCCCTCAATAATGATTGCTATTTATACCAAAGCTACTTGAGAACACCCATCCTTTCAAAACTGGATTGGAGTTTAGAAATGGAGAAGAGCAGAGTTGTGCCATAAATCACTTATGGAATGCTTAATACAGTTGTTCATTTTCAAGATTTATAATAATAATTATCATCGTGATCATATTTTATTATTTTTATCACTCAGCCCATTTATGGCTATGGATCCTTGGAGGACATGGCATTTCGAAGCACAGTGGCCAAAGATGGAGAAATTTTCTTTGTTGATGACAAGGAGATTGGCTTGCGAGAAATGGCCATGAATGTTGCAGTTCCCACTGATCCTGGACAGAGAACAGTCAAAGGTAATAACTGTTTACATTGTATTTCAGATTGCATCATTTTAGAATGCATCTTGCCTAGCAAAGCTGTGATGTTCGTGATGGAATCCCATTGACAGCAGTTTGACACAATACCACAGTCAACTATTTATTTAGAATGGACACCTTTATAAGACCACAGAGCATAGGGGCTGGGTGGGCTATAGCCTCACCAATAATTTCACTGCAATTTTTTTTGCATTAATTACAAAAGTATTTCCAGTCTCTTTGTTAAAAGTGAATGCCATTTTCATTGTTAAATGTACGTTTATATGAAGAAAACTAACAGAATGGCGATGAACATTTTACAAAACTTTCTCACGTTTGATGGAAATAAACATGTTTCTGGTGGTTTTGAAAACTCTAATTTTCAGCTAGCCCCACCAGTCCAAAAGATGCTCCATGAATTTTCAATATGTCCCTAAGTGTACACCAACAATTAATTGGTCCCAGCCTTCATTCCTTTTATTTGATTCTCTATAAAACAGACTTATGTCTAAGACAGACCACAAGTTAGTAAAAGTCCCCATGTTTCAACCATAAAAGTTTAACAGTATTTTACTTACTTCACTTCAGGATTGTTGTGATTTTTTAGCTCTCTTGTTTGTGTAAATTTTAAAATTACTTAAGAATAGACAGTGTAAGTTATCATATATTTTTTTGCTTATCTTTCAGCCCATTGGCTATGTATTGAGGGTTCATTGCCTGTTGGAAGTCATGCCCAACTAAATGCTGGTACGTTTTTCAAAAACAGTCCATTCCAAGGTGAAAGGGAAAAAATATGATTTTCACAACAGTTACCAAAAAATTAGAAAACAAATGACTAAAAATCAAGATTTAAGTGTGAGTACACAGCCTTATTTTGTGTGGTTTTGTTTACAAAAACTGTGTTATTTCGTTCTTCAATTCAACCTTAGGTCGAGGTAGCAGCACTAGTGAAAACGGATCTGTGCGCAGCCCCCTGTCAGAGGTGATAAATTAGTTAATTTACTGCCATTTATTATAAGTAAACTCACCTTTGGATGGTTGTCCACAATAATTATTAGATTTAGTATTGTTCACTGTGGTAATTAAATCATACCCAACATTCCCTATCATTTTTTCATAATCAAAGATACTCTATTTCCATGCACAGGTTACCATGGTTACCCATAGCCATACCTGTCAATACGAGTAGCAAGTCACTTAACCTGAGAGAGAAATGGCAGGGATGATCAATGGCAATATTGCATATGGGAAATCCTTGTCACCCTTTTACATAACTATCATCAAACATGTCTGCCTCCCCTAAACCAAGGCAGAACTGGTGTATCTTAAGGTCCATGTTAAATTCTTTACTTAATTGTCACATTCAGTTTTCACTACTGATGTTCTTCCTGATTATTAGCTCCTTTGTCTACCTTAAGATTAAGTACTTTTGAACCTTGTGTTTATCTCTTTGTAGGCCTGTTTGAGTTATTATGAGCAGATCACAAAGGCTGTCTTAGGTGATGAGGACGAGTCCTGCAGAGTATGTCTTCTTCATTTTAATAAACTGCTTTTCAGTCTGAGGTTTATTGATTGTTAATAGAGATGTGAATCCCGAAAACCACATGCAATAAACAGCAAGCATTTTGAGTTCAACAATAGTTGATAGATACACCTTGTTCATCACATATTGATAACAAGTACCACAGTGGGCTACTGTTCAGACATGCTTTCACTTGAGTGGCCACTCTTTAGGATTTAATCCCAAAGTTATAACAGGGCTCCAACATGCCTTGAAAGTCCAGTTGAGTTTAAAAGTCAAAATTCAACTTGCTTTCTTAGTATGAGATTCTGGAAAACTGCCAACCTACCCCTCCCCTAATCAAACATTTTTCCCTTAGTAAGAAGTCAGTGTCAATGTGGGCTTAGGGGAGAGGTGGTTGGAAAGATTCAGATGACCGTTTCCAGATTCTCAAGTGACTAATAAGTCTATAAACATGTCTGTACAAAAGTTTCATACAGAAAGGAGATGATTTAAGCACTTTTCAATATTGATTTACCTTTCTGTTTAAAAGGAGTGAGAACCATCTGGAACCACGTTTATAAATTTTCTGGTGATTACTACATTGTCATGTAGTTGTGTCTGAGCTGACACTTACATATGTCTGAGTTGCTGGCTTAGTTCTGGCCTAATCTGTATTATTTTTCTTCTCCTTCATTCACCAGGTGGCTCTAAGTGATTTGAGGACTAACCCCAAGATTTCCTCTTTATTGGCATATTTTGTGAATTTCATTGCATCAGGAGTAAGTAAAATAGCCATCTGGAGTAGAGGAGAGTAGTGTGATATCGCATTACCATGGTAGCAAAATTTCTGGATCTCAACAATCTTTCTTGACAGAGACGTCCCTTTACATTGTCAAACCATCAAAGAAAAGTATGGGATACTGTTTTGTTCCTGAGTGCAATGATGCACAGGAAAGTCATACATGTTAATTTTTTTCATTTTTTTTGCCATATTTGCAGGACCACGGTTTCTTGAGGTCCTCCAGAGTTTTTGCTACAATGGCAACATGACATAATGACTTCTCCTCTCTATTATTTTGCTGTTGTTACTAGGAAAACAAGAATTCTGAAGGAGTTTAGGAATCAGAATCATATTATTATTCTTTTGTACTGATCAGTACAAAAAGAAAATCAACAGAAAGGTTGATCATTAGATAAGTACTGTGTAATAAACCTGCAGGAGTGCTTTATCAGGTTTAACACATGAGGTGGGAAGTTTCAGAATTTATGAAGCACAAAAACTGATGTAGATCTATTCCTTCTTGCACTAATTATTTTTATTTGGGGTTATATTGGACATAAAGATTCGCCCTTTTGATATCAGATAGAAAGGAAAGGACATTAATGATCTCAAAGATGAAAATAAGAGCCTTGATTTCAAGACAAATACATATCATTCGCATTATGATAATCAGAATGACTAAATCAGCCGTAATGGTGTCAAAGAATTTTGCTCTTATGGAACATGAATTTCAAGTTATCTTAAATTGGTTTGTTTACTGTGGTTTGCATACCCATTTGCCCCTCAAAAAGCTCCTTTTTTCTGATGGCAATAGTATTTTTCAGGTGAAGTCCTACAGCCATGACTTAACACAGCTGAGCAAGCTACTGAGTATGGTTAGATCACTGATTGAAAATCAGTCCTTGTTTTTGGAACCCTATGTAAGCAATTTGATTCTTGTTTTCGTTTTAGTTTTAGTTTTCCTGTTATGTTTTTGGCAACTTAATACTGATAACAACTTTACCTACCTAGAATTGTTAACTGCTGCAGCCTACTAAGTTCGTCAGTTTTTCGCTTGTCTCTCTCTCCCTCTTGCACTTTTTCATCAGATGTGCAAGAACATAAACATCAGTAGATATTGAACAATAGCCTTGCGATAGACTTTTTGAATTTTATCGTCTGTTTAATAAATTAGTGAGTAACTCAGACTTCCTGCGTACTACTTAAGACTTCCTACAAACTTATTTTTGTTTTTTTCTTCTGACCTACTTTATGGTAGTTTTAGATTTCCTGCATACATGTACTATTTACCTGTTGAATGCTTCAAGTACATGTAATTGATTAGCTGAATTAGTATAATAAATGAGTTTTGCCAGTTTTATCAATACACTTGCCCTCTTTTAATTCATACCGGCACTTGATTTCAGTTACGATTGGCTGCACACGCCTTGTTCATTGTGATTGTAAAACACAAAAACGCTTGAATTTATTTCCTCGTCTTGCCCTTGAATACTTGACTTGAAGTGAACGTCTATCGCGTTTGTTGTTTAACAAAGGAAATAAAAGAAACACGCTAGCGTTAAAATTAATGCAAAGTTAATATAATGAAGTAGTTTTATAACGTTGCATGATATAGCGTAATATAGCGAGGGGATTTACGGTCGTGTCGCCTACGAGTCATTTCGCCAACGTCCACTTCGCTAACGCCTTAAGTCCTTTCGCTAACGTATAACGTGTAGAACGAGGTATATGTGTATCGCACTCTTTCGTATCATGGCGCAAAGAAAGAGGCAAGCTCGCTCCCAGGTTCCCTCTAGAGGACCCTGGGAACGAGGTACACGTTGAGTGCTGGTTTCGTTTCATAAAAGGAATGACTTAAGACATTAGCGAGGGCGACGTAAGCGATTCAACGACCTATAGGCGAAACGACCGGTCGCCAGCGAGGGTTTTGTTCTGACAGTCTACAACCTTTCTCTCCCTTTTATACTGTTTGGTGAAATTATTCTGTTCGTTTTCGTAGGTTATTCAGCTTGTCACAGCTGTCATGTATTGTTTGCTTGAGTCTCTTGCTGCCTCCCTTAATCCACATAATGATCACTGGCGGCTGAGGGATGAGGCAGCCAACATTCTGGCTCGCATCAGTAGGTACGGGTTACTACTTCTCTATTCACTCTGCTACCCTGTCAAATGGTCCTGACTGCTCTCTCGCGCATGCATAAGGTGCTGGTGTGTGCTTCAGTGCTGAATTTGGTCTTGCTACCCCTTACAACGAATTACGATCGTTAAGGAAGTATTTCAGTTTGTTTTTAAAACTTTTATTGATCGTGTATGCCTGATCGTTTTACCCGTCGCAGTTTGACTTGCATGCTTGCTTACTGCTATGCTCTACAGTGCTACAGTGTAAGTTAAGATCTTGCTTTCTTGCATTCTCGTTCCCAGAGCCCGTCGTTTCTTCTGGTCACGTGGTCCGTTACAAATTAATCCGAGTGTCTCTAGGGACGAGAATGGCTTTCTTGCAATCCAAGTTTTGTTAGTCTAAATTGTGACTTCGGGCGAATCGACCCAATTCCAGGCGAAACAACCTGGATACCCTTTACAACCTGTCCCTGAGAGATATTGCCTTTTAACCTAAGAATTTTGGTAAAGATCGGTGAAATTAATTTTGATTTACTTCTAAGCAATGCTCCACTGTCAGTCGACCCGAGACAGGTTTTTCACTTCGTCCAGTTAAAAAAATAACATAAGCCTCAAATGTGTCGTGGGCTGGTAAATAGATTTTTCTCAACACAGATGGTTAAGGGAAATTTTTCTGAACTTTCTGAAAGTCCATCACTACGAGTCGTATGTTGTTTTTTTCTCCAATCCATTCTCTCTTCCTTCTCTCTCGCCATATATTCAGGACCTACAAAAAGTATTAGTTTCCTATCGGGGGTGACGAATGCTTCCAGTTGAAGGGGCCCTTCTTTAAGCTCACTATTTTCGGTAGGCAATGACGACCAACACAGTATTGACGGCGCTAATTCTGCTTGACTCTATTTCATCCGTTTGTTTGTCTACAGGAAGTGCAGTAATCCTGTTAACTACCTAAAACAGCAGCTGTTGATGACGCTTCAAGAAGTGTTGTTAGATGATGGCCGCCCTTTCTGTTCACATTATGGTGCAGTAGTCGGACTGACTGAGTTGGGGCCAGAGGTAAAATCAGACTGTTTACACTCGCAGTTTTGTATTTTCTCTTGTGATTGTCGAGAGTGATCACCAAATTCCAGAGGCCCCGTCCATTTTTCATGTGGAGAACGCCGGAAGTCTGTAGAGAGTGTAAATTAGCCTCCCAAGATTTAATTTCCCTCATCATCATGAAATCTCGACATCTGTTAGCCTGTCAAATTCGGCGATTGATCTCGACAATCACACGTAAAATAGGGAACTGTAAACATTCAAATAGTGACTTTTAAAACTTGATTATATTTTCCGTTATTGTTAGTTCCTAAAGTAATCTAACGGCATGTTATTTGGTTGTTTGTTTCAGGCACTAGAACAGTTTGTAATGCCTCATCTGCGCACATACTGGAATCAGCTACAGCAAGTTCTAGACGATACCACCCAGTCGAATGCTCTTTTGCAAGATGAAGCCTATCAAGTTTATGGAGCCCTTCTTGTAAGAAAAGTGACAGCGCCTCTTCATATTATTGGTAGTTACCCAGAATTAGAATTAGATGCGAGCAAATTTAGCTTGGCTGGGATTGTAAAAAAAGAGGAATCGTGTAATTAGGAGACTGAGCCAACTTAACCTTATTTGATAAAAGTAGTGAAAAACTTTCTATCTTGTTTGCATAAGTTTCAGGTTTTGCTCATAAATGGTCATGCACCTGAAGTAGGTTAGTATTTCTCTAGCTGTCATCTTGACATCGAAAGACGTCTAGTACACGCATCCGTTCTTGAAGGAGATCCGGAAAGAAACCTTTTGTCTTTATCTTAGTGCTGGGTTGTCTTCTGTAATGCAGTTTTATTTGGCACAACCATGCACTGACTTAAAATAACGTGTTCGATATTTTCCTTCTTCAGCAGGCCGCTGGATGTCTTTTGAAATCCAAACAATTTGGTGTGCCCATCTCCTCTCTCGGGACTCAAGTCAACAACTCGCACCCATTCTTGCGCAGCAATCTGTCGCCGTGGGCTGGGACGAGCGTAATTCAGCGCCCAGCTGCCGTGGGCTCTACGCGATCGCGGTCGAGTTCGACCAGTCTTGCATCCAACTCTCTTCAATTGTACCAACAACTCTACGAGGTGTTTGGAGATAGTTTAGGGCCCAGAATTGCACATAACAACTGGCAAGACGCTGCTGTAACGAAGAACAATCAGCTGCGGATGCAACCATTTGCGCATGCGTACTTTCCATTACGCCCGCTCGCACGTGATGCTAATGTGATCAAAGAAATAATAATCAAAGCGAGAGAGAAGCTACGGCTAGTGAGACCCCAAACACCGGCGCAAGGAACCAAGAGAAAAAGAACGACCAGCGAGAGCGGTTCAGCTCATAAGACTTCAGAGAAACGGGCAGGAACAAAAGCTAAACGCATTTGCATGACAGTAAGCCCTGCGCGAGCGAGAATTCAACAAGTCCCAATGGATTTAGACCCTGAAGAACCCAGTCCCTCACGAAGCTCTAAGAGGGGCGGTCACAAGGCTTTTGAAGTGCCAGGGATACAAGCACAAGGAGGCCGGAAACATTCGAAGAGAGCTATTGTTACCGAACGCATACGTAGAAAGTTTAGAAGAGTCAACCCTTCTTTGAATAATACGGCGAAGTATGATTATCATTTAGGTGTAATATTATAGTGTTTCGCTCGCATTTTTTGTTAGATACCATTATTACAGAACAAAGCTAGACTCGACGCTTTTTGGTGAAACATGTAGTGGTACGTATCACTGTCGGAACAGAAAAGTGGTAACTTTTGTCACCTCATTGAGAGCTTTAAATATATTTGTCAAACTCATAACTATTTAGTAGGCATGTTGTTCAATAAGGTTCCGTCCAAATCCAGATATTTTTGAAAACGGAGATTTTTTCATCCGTCTTAGCCTTCCTTCCACACGTCAACGGCGTTTTCGGACACCAAAAGCGCAGTTTTTCGAAAACGGTCCCCAGAGTGGAGTGTTTTTGAAAATGTCGGTTTGTGGTTTTTTGTGGACGAATGAAAGCGTAGATATTCGAATTACACGATGATGTCATGCATCATACAGTGTCTGTAAGGCGTGCAATCATACGCGTATTTCCATCGTTTTGGTGTTTTCGCGTGGACGGGCGAAAACGATTCGAGTACGCTAGACGTGGATACGTATTTTTTCGAAGGCGGAGAAAAAAATCTCCGTTTCCAAAAATAACTGGATACGTGTAGACGAGGCCTAAATCACGTACTTGGATCTTTTTACCCGGTAAAATTCATCAGTCGGAAAAGGTAACTAAGGCAGGGATTTGAATTCATCCTCAGAGGAAATACGTTTTGGATAATTTTATCTTCTGAACATCATACATGACGTTTTATTTAAGACGTTCAGTCTAATTTACATCAGGAAAAGTAAAACATAGAACCAAAATCTGTAGAAAAATAGTCGGTCTAAAAGAATCAAAAAGTCGTTGGCCGGTCAAAACGTGTTGTAGTTTTAAAATACAACACGGAGTTTATTAACCAGGCCCCAGTTGTTCGAAAGGTGGATAGCTCTATCCACCGTATAAATCACTATCCAGTGGATAGCGTAATTGGTTTCCCTAATAGTTATCCACTGGATAGAGATTTAATTGGTGGATAGCGCTATCCAGCTTTTGAACATCTGGGGCCAGATGCGGTTGTTTGTTGTCCTGCATTGCAAGAGACGACATCTTACCTAGCACTGGTTGAGTGACAATTTATCCTTCCCAGTCAGCAATTCCATTGAAAATTTCATCGCCTTTTATGTCGAGATTTAGTGACAATCCCCTTGAGCAGTTTCCTCTCTTCTTGTTCAGTTTTTAACGGAGGGAAATTTCCTTTTGGGTAGCGGCATCCTGAAGGCTTGTAGCTGCTGAACTCTGTTGTCCAGTTTAACAATTTATTTGCATAATCATAGTTAACTAGCCTTTGTTCTTTGCTTGTTTTCGTTTTGCGTTTTTTAACAACACGCTTTTAGAGAAAACAATACACAAACAAATAACAACAGAAATCAGAGAAATGCAACACATCTGGCCCGGGGTGTTCGAACGTGGGATAGCGCTATCCACCGGATTAATCGCTATCCAGAAGTTTATTATTAGGGAAACCAATTGCGCTATCCACCTTTTGAACAACTAGTGCCTGGGACATATCTTGAAGCCTTTCAAAACATTCGCAGGACGTGCTTTGTCAAGTCTGAAAATTCTAACACTTGGTGTGCGAATTTTTTTTAACTTGATAAAACACTACTGTTCGTGTTCATCTGATATTGAGAGAATCGGTCTACAGGACGTCGCTTCCAAAAAGAGATCCAAAAACGTCCACTTTTCAGAATGAATTAGAGCGATTTCTAAGTTAAGATATCAGTGTAGTTCCATGAAGGTTCTCACAAGAGATTAAAGTAAAAACAAAGAAAAAAATTTAAAAAGGAAAAAAGTGGGCGCACTCTCTTACGAGAGGTTTTAACTATAGGGTTATTACTGGGAAACTTTTGGTGCTTTGAACAGTTGGATAAGTGGTCGTGGTCGCTTGCGAAAGATGGTCGTACATGGAGGTTCGATTGTACTCAGATTTCCCCACACAAAAATAAACGAGTTTTCACGTAAAAGGTGTCATTCCTGAAAAACATTCTTGCAAGGAAAATTAAAACTCCATTTTTCACATCACTTACACCCCGCGAGCAGGGCCTCCTTTTGTCTTCTTCATCGAGTGTATTGATGGTGTAAACCCCGTTGGTCTATAAGGAAGTGTAGGTTTAAGTGAAGAAATGCACCTGATGTTATTGTTGTTGAGTGAAGGCTGATATAAATCTCGCCAGTCTGTTTGAGCAGTTTAAAAAGACAAATCATATTGAACTCAAAATCAGGGTTGTAAAGAGCAGCAAAGAAATTATTCATTCATGTCTGTGCTGAGTTTCTATTCACAAATGATATGAAATACAAAGCAATTTCACCATTTGTTGTAGTATTGGCTGTTGGGCTTTCAAAATGTGGTCAGTTTTAGGAGGCTTACCATCAAGATGTGGTCATCTCTAGGTATAGTCAGTGAAAACTAGAACAAATAGCGGTAAGAACAAAATTGTCAGTTTTGATGTGAAGTTTCTTGAATAAAATGGCCATGAGGAAATTGTGTACAAGTGAATAATCTCAACCCTGACTTTGAAATGCACAGAACCTTTTTTTTTTTTTTTTTACCAAATTTGAGGTACTGTGGGTGGCCTTGTTATTGTTAGCTTTTTAATAATAATATTATGATGTAGAAAAAATACAGTAAATGATCTGACTACTGGACCTTTGTCCAGTAGATTTGTTGTAGTGTATTTACTTAATGTAAAGGGGAGGTAGTGTGGGCCCTCTGTAACTGTATACAACAGTTACTGTGTCATTTTGAATTTTTAGTTTTAGTAATTGGAGATCCCTGCCCATTGTGCGACCCTAGGCTTTACTATTATCAAATGACAGAAGGGGAATGTAACACATGCCCAGGTTATGTACCATTGACTCACTTCGAAGTGGTTATGTGATTTAGAATTGAACCCAAAAAAAGACCGGGGCCCAGGTGTTCCAAAGACCAATTAGCACTAACTGAGTGTTAGATTTTAACCTGCGTTTCTTTTTCCTTTTAATCAAAAGCATTTTGTCAGATAATTTTCCCCTTTTTTTTAAGTATCAAATCACCAAATTGTAGACAAAAGGAATTCAAATGAATTTGTTTTTAAAACTTTCATATCTGAATTCATATTTCATACTAACCTTGGGTTATCTTAACCCAGCTTTAAACAACCCAGCCTGGAAGGATAAATGCTGCATGTTAATTTGTTTCACCGCCTTAGTTTTTTCTTTATAGCTTATAACTTTTCATGATCCAAGGCCAACTCAGAGCTCCTGTAACCCAGTAGGGGTCTGTTCATTTTTTAAGGGGGGGGGGCTTTGTTGGGTGGGATTTGACCGGTAGCTCCTGTATATGAAGACCCTCTCTTCATCAGAATTTTTTGGGGAAGCCACAACCCCGCTCCTTGTATCCCAAGATCAAATAACCAGGATTCAGGTGAATTTTAGCCAGCAAAAATGCTATGACTTTTTTTGGATTGAATAGGTAGTACTTAATGAACAGTGAGACTCAAAACTCAGGGTTGCAAACAACAAAGTAAGGAAAATTAGCCTTTCATAAATTTGTCAGCTGAGTTAATGTTCAAATAAAATTGTGAGCAGTTTCACCATATTTTGTTGTAGTATTGGCTGTTGGGTTTTCAAAATGTGGTCATTTTTAGGAAGCCGGCCATCGAGATGTGGTCATCTCTAGGTGGGCAGTCAAAACTACAACAAATACTGGTTAAACTAAAATTGTTGGTTTTAAATTGAATTAAGTTTGTTGGTTAAATGGCCATGAGGAAATTATGTACAAGTGAATAACCACAACACTGAGTTTGAAATCCACAAAACTTTTTATTTCGGACCAAATTTGATTTTTTAGTATGATGTACAAAAAATACAGTAAATGATCTGACCACTGGACCTAACCTTGTGTTATCGTAACCCATCTTTGAGCAACCCAGTCCAGAAGTTTAAAGGCTGCATGTTAATTTGTTTCACCACCTTACTTTTTTCTTTTCTCTAGACTTTTCATGATCTAAGGCCAACTCAGAGCTCCTGTGATCCTGTAACCCAATAAAGGTCTTTTCATTGTTTATGGGGCGGGGGGGCTTTGTCGGGTAGGATTTGACTATTCGACCGGTAGCTCCTGTAGATCCTCCTTGTATCCCAAGTTCGAATAACCAGGCTTCAGGTGAATTTTAGCCAGCCAAAATGCTATGACTTTTTTGGATTGAATAGGTAGTTCTTAATGAACAGTAAAACTCAAAATCAACATTAAAATCAGTGAAACTTAAACTCAGGGTTGCAAACAATAGAGTAAGAAAACTTAGCCTTTCATAAATTTGTCAGCTGAGTTAATGTTCAAATAAAATTGTGAGCAGTTTCACCATATTTGTTGTAGTATTGGCTGTTGGGTTTTCAAAATGTGGTCATTTTTAGGAAGCCCATCATCGAGATGTAGTCATCTCTAGGTGGTCAGTCAAAACTACAACAAATAAGTCCCGTATGATATATGCCCCTAATATTCTAGAATCAGTATAAATATTGTCGGAAATATAGAAAGAACCCTGCAGTATATGTATGACAACCCTTGAAAAACACAATATTTTACACCAACGTACAATGAAGTAATTTGGTTCCCTAATTCAGCTCGGAAGTGAACATGTAATATTAATGAAGATGAATTTACAGCCATCCAACCACTACATAGTTCTCATTTATAGGTGTCATCTTTAGTTTAAGGACCCCTGTGGTAATTGCTGTGCATAAGGGAATACCACTTGTTAAGATGTACATTGTCCCATAAGTTAATAGAGGAATTTTTAAGACGATAGACAGGGCCGTAGCCAGAAAAAAATAAGGACTGAGGCAATATCCATGGTTGAATTCCCCGCCTAGCTATTCCGGGTCTTTATGATGACTACGTTGAAACAAAACACTGCCAGGATCAAACCTTAAATGACAGAGGCAGGTGCCTCGGTTTGCCTCATACTGGCTATGGCCCTGACTGTAGGAAATACAGTGCATCAATGATCTGACTACTGGACCTTAATAACGAGTGGATTTGAATTAGTGTATTTGCTTTAAATTAGTAGCCCGGGAAAGGTTTATGCCAGGGGCGCTGTCAGAAAGGGACACCTTTTTCATGCTTCAGGTATGAAAGGATAGGGATTTCCTGAGTTAAAGTATATGACAGGGCAGACTATCTGTCATTTCGTTCTGTAAAAAGACTAACAGAAGAAATTTGTGAATGTAAAATTGTCAAAAAAAATGAACTGGTTTCTGATTCCTTTATACTAAAATGACAGTGCACATAAAACAGTTAACAGGAAAGATGCATGTAAGGGGTTGGACCTCTGGGCGGAGTCTCACAGCGTGTACAAAATTTTATTGTAACAAATTATGTAATGTTACAGTTGAGATTGGAAATTTACTTTAGTCACAAAACGGATCAAACATATAGGAAATGTCACATGCACATCACCTTTGACTGTCAGCAAATGTTATGCAGCTCACTATATTTGCTCCCCTTGCAAATATGGATAATTATGATGCAAATGTGCAAATTTATGATACAGCCAAATGTCTAGAAATTTATTGTTTTTGCTCTTAAGGCAAATACAAGTAAACCACATGCAAAAGTGTTCTTTTGGTATCCTGGAAAAACAAGAGCAAATACCACTGCAAATTAGGGGTTTTGCAATATTTTTGCCTGCATTTGAAGTAAAGTGAAAACTGTCATTTTTGCCAAGGATGTAAATTTGAGTAAACTGGTAGAAATGTTGAAGATTTGCCCATGCTGCAAATATGTATTAAATTTGTATCAAACCATTACATTTACTTCGCTTTTGCGTATCAGTACCTATCTAGCAAATATATGTATTTGCCCACACTTTAGCCGACAGCGCAAATGTAATGCAAATTTGGAGCTCCAAATTTACCACATATTTGCACCTTTCGCAAACATTAGTAAATCCGTTTTTTCGTCCAGTGTGAATCGCGTCGTCAAACCTTTGAAGTCGCCGCAGCCCAAAAAACTTCGTATAACTGACCTTCGCGCCTTATGTCTTGATTTCCACTGTCGCGTACTTTTTACGTGCGCACGGGCGTAAAATTTACGTTCGCAAATAAAATAGAGGCAATGTATGTAAGGTCGCAAGAAAATGTAAAAGTTAAACCTCGCTCAACTTCACATTTAATCTCAACACTTTATATCTTGCCTCTTTTTTGTTTACGTGATTAAAAAATTACGTGCGTTAAAGTGCGTAGCCAAAAACGCGTCAGTGGAAATCAACCTTAAGACGCGAACGCATACTAGGCATGCGTTAAGTTTTGGCACGCCATTTTGGATTACCGTTGCTACGGGCAACACTTACATTAAAACGAGTCAAGAACAGAAATAAGACGCGAACCATTTATACGAGCTGTATTCGTCTTAGATAAGACATGCTCGCATCTTATTCAAGACGCGTCTTATTTTTCCTCGTATAAATGGCCCTATAATTAGTTCACATCGGAAGAATCTCCGGTAGACCGCCCTATTAAAAAGCTTTGAGATCGCTATTTAAAGAACAAGCATCATTCTAGATCTTTTTAACTTAGAGTTTTTTTGCTTATTATGGATTAGAAGTCTGTGTGAAACAGTCTCCAGCGCTTTACGCCCTGGTTTCCTGTCATTTGAGGGCTGCCCATGGCACAACTCGGTTATTTGCACCACCCATACCCAGATAATTACCATTTTTCTAAAACATTTTGGTCTTTGGAACTCTAAACATGTTCCAGATTTACAAATGATTGATCGTTGCTGTAGTCACTGATTTAATATTTAGATGTATGATTTTGAAATAGACGCTGACCTCGCATAAACGCCCCATCGGATACGCTTAGAATGAGCAATTCTCTTTTGCTACAAAGAATTAGAAGAATGTAACTAGTAATAGTTGACACTACAGCTGTCCCCGCTCTGTATATTGTCGGTCAATAGCATTCTTGGTCGTATTCCATACAATAGATGAGATAAAAACAGGAAACGCAAGGTTCCATGCACAGTTTCAGTTCGATTTACACAGCTTTGATCAAAACATTCTCACTTTCGAGAATAGTTTATGCGAACCATAAGAAAAGATTTAATTAGAAGTTGAATTTTTCGCTAATTCTCTTTCACTTTTTACATTCAGTTCATTTTATTCGCCGGAAAGTAAGCCTTAGAAATTGAAAGGACGTTTGATCAAATCACGCTCGCACATTCTAGTCTTATTTTAAACTTTATAGCGCAAGGACATCTGTGGACAGGGAATGGGTCAGCACAGATGTGATTGTCGGCGAATTTCTGTAAGCGTCCATCGTTCTGCTAGTGATAAGCTAGCCGTTGATTCACTTGTATTGCTTGTTTGGGGCTGAGTCTTATTCCGGTCAAAGAGAGAGAAAGAGTGTCTTTCCAATCAAAGATTTGTAAACCCGTGTCTTGCAGACTTTCCAAGTGTCTATATATTTAACAATTAATGAATGAGGCTGAGTATCTTATGAAGAATTATGGAGATCGAGGAGGGTGTTATTTCCTGTTTTAAGCTATTATTTCGCCTAGTTCTTACTCTTGAAACGAGTGAAATTTCCGCCATTTTTGTTTTCACAACGACCAACTCAACCTCGTCCCCTGGCATTAACCTGCAAGGAAGCTGCACTTTTGACGTCATTGGTAGATTAAACGCAAAATTCTTCCAAATTTGGTCATCAGTAGCTGGTTATGGTGAATTATGCGAGTGCTTTTAGCCAATCAGAACCGGGGAAATATTTTGAATGAATAATAAACACAGTTATACGCACCTTATAACTTCATCTGCGCTAAACGAGTGTCTTTTGGTCCATAACTTTCAAAACAACTGCTCTACAGAATGTCACTGATAACACGTAACGCAAAAGAGTATCGAAGTATGACTGTACAATAAATGTCACAAAATGTACCTAAGCGGTCCCTACGGGATTTTCTGTCTTTACGTCATCGTAACCATCTCGAGATTTTTTCTGGCATACTGACTGTATAATTATTTTGACTGTAAGTACTTCCTTAATATACGCGCGAGTTATCAGAGTGCCTCCTCGGGATTTCGCCTTCTGGGCCTTGCGGGGGCAATAAAGTTAATACTGTCCCTTGAGAAAGCCCGGGAAATCTTGTCAGCGGAAAGCTCCTACGATTATGCGCATTTGTTTCACTTTTTGCATTTTCGCGGGTTTTCGCGCCGTTGATGCTCGTAGATCCTGTGGAAGGCTGACAAAAACCTTTTTTTTTTCTTTCCTGGTTTCTTGTTGACATTTGGACTGATATTATAATCAACGCCATGATGAATGATATATCGTGGGGACCAATTAAGGAAACTGACGTGCAACAGTTTTGCGTGGAAATGATGAAACGGCTCGATGTTCAACGAAGGAACGATCATTTCTGTGATGTAATTTTAGAAGTTGGCTGTGGTGACGATCAAGCTCGCTTGAAAGCGCACAGAATCGTTTTATGTGCAGCAAGTCCGTTCTTCTACAATGCTCTTAACAGCGAAATGAAAGAAAAGAAAGAAGGAGTCATCAGATTAGAAAACACAAGCAAAGCTGTGATGGAGGAATTGTTAGATTATCTGTACACAGGATATGTTGACGTCACGCAACACAACGCGTTCGATCTTCTAGAGGTAGCCGATTTTTTGGTCATTCCATGTCTGAAAGAGACTTCAAGTAACTTTATCGCACGAACATTGTCTTCTTCAAACTGTATTTTGGCATATTATTCGGCTGCTAAGTATCAGTGCAGAGAATTGCAAAAAGAAGCGAGAGATTTTATCTGTACACACTTTACGAGTGTAATTGAGCAGGAAGATTTTTTGAACTTAAGCAAGGAAGAGCTGGAAGAGTGGATTTCAAGTGATGAAATAAGAGTAAGGGGGGAAGAAGAAGTTTTCCAGGCTATTGTCAAGTGGTGTGAAGAAAAAGAGTGCCGCCAACGTGAAATATTTTTCGAATTATTTCGTAACGTTCGTCTGATGTACCTGTCACGCAACTATGTTTTCAAGGAAATCTTACCTCATCCTTTGGTGAAAAATGATGAAAGATGCACGTCAGTGGTCTTAGATGCAATGGAAGATGTTTCATCTGGCTCTGAAGACTGCTATTTTGCCCAAGCACCAAGAAACTGCCTGAGGATAGCTGAAGATTGTCTTGTCATCTCTAGCAGTAAAAGCACAATCTCTTACCTTCCCACAGAAGGCAAGTTATTTAAGCTTGCAGACCAGTCCAGTCATAACTTTTCATATACCATGTGTGCTTCTTATGGCAAACTTTATGTCAACAATGCTTTTCAACAGTCAGTTGAGAGATATGATCCAGTGGTGAACTCTTGGGTATCTGTCACACCATTAAGTGGTGGTTCAGTGCCACTCCGTAGTGTAGCTGTAGTTAATTTCCAAGGGTTTTTGTATGTGATTGGTGGGAGAATAGGAGATGAGCAAGTAAACTGTGTACATAGGTACAATCCTGACACAAACCTGTGGCAGGAAGCTACACCCATGAACATTTCCAGATCTTCACTGTCTGTTGCAGCTGACAAGGACACTATGTATGCAATTGGAGGCCGGACAAAAGATCAGTTACTGGATGTTGCTGAAAGATTTGACCCCAAAACAAACTCATGGTGCAGAGTGGCTTCAATTCTTGAAAAAAAAAGATACTCTCCTGCTGCTATTTTAAAGGGTAAAGTGTTTCTATTTGGAGGCTGTACGAGCCCTCGAGCCTTAAATGTAACTTCCAGGAATATTGAAATGTATGACCCAATTACAAATATCTGGACAGCCATTCAGAGTACATCTGCACCAAAGCGCTTTTTAGGTGCCACAAGTTTTAAGGGAGCCATTTATGTTACAGGTTTGTGGAACCAAGAAAGTTCCAATGTTTACCGGTATTGCTTGAGGGTGTATGATGTTGACAAGAATGAGTGGAAGCATTGTGCAGATATTCCTCTTAACTCTCCTCGAGCTGTTTTGGCTCCTCTCAGAATTTCAAGAGGAATTTTAAACACTTGTAAAGTTTTAATTTAAAGCACAGGTTGGATAATGTTTTGAAACATGTACACTGCTGTAAACCACAAATTGATTAACCTGGCAAAATGCTCATTAATTTTTTTAGGAGAACTTCCTTTCATTGAGCTGTAATTCATTAATGCAGCCCACAGCCACATCTTAAGATCCCAACCTGGATTTCCTCTAAAAAATTTACCTTGTTAATACAGTCAATAAGAGCAAAAAAAATGTGTGTTTGAAATGACAAACAAGTGGCAGATGAAAATTGATATATTTCTGACAGTGTCTGCTGTAAAAACCTGTGAGCAAGAACCTGCATTTTCCTTAGTTAGCCTAAACAGATTCTTACATAAATGTTAATTAGCACTAAATATTATTTAGGCTACTCAGGTTCTTTTAAAATGGGTTCTTCTTTTCTTAACAAAACAAAAAACATTGCAGCTAAAAGTAATTAGTGGTATTCAGCTTAATCCTTATATCAAATCTACCTACTAAATTAGTGAAGTCAGAGTCATTAAGCACATTTGTCTCCAAAGAGTATCCTGAATGTTAATTTATTCCATTTGCCCAAGTGTGCAGAATTTTATTTTTAGATTTAGATAATAGGAACCAGTTTCAAATTTTAGGCTAAACAGGTTCTTGTATAGAGGAGGCCTAACTGGCAACTTTTAGCCTAACAGGTTCTTAAAAACCAGGTTCTAACTTGTGGGTTTTTACCGTAGTCACTTACAGATTTTGCAATGTAACAGCCTGTGTGGTAGTCATTTAAGATGTTAAATTTTGACAGTGATGAGAAAAGGAACCAGTTGAGAAAAGGATATCACCATACCCTGCTAAAAGACCTTTCCACAGTTTTTTTCAACTTTTGACGTGGACAAGTTAGGTAAAATCCATGGACTCCAAAGGACAGAGCACCTTTTAATTAGAAAACTGCCAAGCTTGAAAGTGATTTGTTGAAAACTAGCCAATATATAGCTACATCTACATCTACATCTACATCTACATTTATTGATTGACAATGCTTTTGCGGCTCTTCATAGTGGTGAAAATTTACAGATGAGGTGCCTCTTCCATACAAATGTCTGTAAAATTTCACTAGATTGCACAGCTATATATGTACATTTGCTCACTTAAGACATATCACTTTCAAACTTGGCAGTCTTACTTATTTAAAGGGGCTCTTTCCAGTGGTTTTAAAAGATTTTCTTTAACTTGTCCATATCAAAAGTTGAAAAACCATGGAAGGGTCTACTGGCTGCCAAATTTTAATAGTTCAACAGTGGCCGTATGAATTGGGAATTGAATGTTGTCCTTATGGTTACTTTTTGGTCAGGGTAAAGTTAGGTTGAAATTTTCTGTGCTTTTTTTTTGTTGATGCTTTTAGTACTGATGAAAGAAGAATCTAGTACTGTTTGCCTTTATTATTAACTAGTGTAAAATAATACCTTGGTATCCAATGCAGTTTCCTCTTTCTCCCCTGTAAAGGTCTCGGAGGCTAGGGAGAGGGAAAAAGACAGGTGCGCATGGGACAATGGGAAGGGAAAAGAGAAGAAGAGAGACAGCCATTTTTTCTGTCTTCCCATCATCCACCGCGTGCTTACTATTTTTAACCTGACTCTATTTTCGTTTCGCTTTGTAAATAACATTCCGACAGGCAAGAAGAATGTAAGACAACTGCTAAAATTGGCCTGATCTTGGGTTACGCAGTTTCTGTAACCGAAACTGCCTTTTTATTTTTGTGAGATTTAATGAATCATTGCTCTACTGACGTGAAATATTCTCTACCTGTGGTTTCTACGAATCGAAGCAACAGACGACTCGACATTTTAATCCTGCAACGCCGGGGTACACCAAGAAAAAAAACTGGTTAATCATTTTATGAAGGGGATAGCTTGATTTGATTTTTGTGGGGCTTGTCAGCGGCGACACGCGAAGCCAGCAGAGCCAAACAGTGCTAGAAAATGAAAACAGACACCTTACTCAAAGACACACCATTGGTGTTCTCGCAATTACCATGTCGGTTGTTAAACGATCTGGGGGCTCCGAAACGCTATTTTCAGCACTTGTCATGAGGTGTGTTTCCGAAAAATCGACTCGAATAAGTGTGAAAAGTCAAGTGTGTTTTCAGTGCTTACAAGTGCTTATTTCCGAGGTCCTGTTAATTTAAAACACACCGTATATCCAAGCACTAGTACACTAAATATTTCACAAAACTGCACGATGTTTGGCTAACTAACCTATAAAAGATGTCTCCACGGTTTGATTTTCGTTCATAAATATCCTTTGGCGTTGGCATGTAGTTTGTTCAACGATGAATCAGCATCATTGCGAGGCCGCTAAGGCGTTCTTCTGTACGACGCAGAGCAGAGAGGGATGGCTTTCACAAGAAACACTACCAACTGGTGTGCCATTACGGGCACTCTCTGTAAATTAGAGTGAACTTTGCAAATAGGTTATAGATGAACGAGCTACAAATTGTAGTAGCTGAGCGGTGGTAACCACAGTCTTTTTAAGAGCGATCGCCAAGAAAAATTGAGCAAAATAATTTTAAAAAATCGCAAAAAGCACTTTTATTTTAGAGAAAATATATAACAAGAAATTCAAATTCTCTCTTCGGAGTATAAATTGCAGATTACTTTTGGGACGGATCGCTCAATATTGAAGGACGTATGCCCGGGGGAAGCTCGAATAAAAAAGTGACGTAGACGCTCGTCGGAAAATTAAAATTTTAATTTTTAATTTTAATCATGAAAATGATTTTTATTGGCCGGGATATCATGTGCTTTTTTAAAAAAATAATTGCATTTTAATTTGTATAGTTAATAACAGACACGAAAAACATGACTACAACAACAAATTTTGACAGCGCGGGCGGTTTTAGATCATTCAACATGATTCAACAGATTGGCTGAAACAGACTACCACCTTTGTCAAATTCAAACTTTTTCAAGACCAACGCTTTCAAAATCATTCAGCTAAGAACTTGGAAATGTGCAAGGATTGATTTCACACCAGCCTGTTAAAGATAGCTCGGTTTACAATAATGAGCAAAACTAAGGGTTTATAGAATCATCCTCGATTATAAAAGCGTTTACAAAAGATTCCCGCTTTTCAAGATTCCCCGTTTTAAAGATTCTCCATTTTAAAGATTCCTCGCCGTTTTAAAAATTCCCGCATTTAAAGATTCCCGCTTTTGAAGATTCCCCACTTTAAAGATTCCCCGTTCCCTGTTGCCCGTTCCCCATTCCCATTCCCATTCCCATTCCCCGATTCCCCGTTCCTTGTTTTAAAGATAGCCGCTACTTTCGAAGGGTCATTATCTTTTTGGGGTCGCTACTTTTTGGGATTTGCATGCGAACTTTTCTCGCTTCTTTTGGAGGGTTGCTACTTTCAGGGGGTTGTTACTTTTGGAACTTTTCGGTACATTTTATTTTTTTTGAGAAAATTCCGTTTAATTCAGCCATAATTCAGTAATGCAGCCCAAAGCACATCTTAAAATTCCAACATGGATTTTCTTCACAAATTTACCTTGTTAATGCAGGTAATAAGAGCAAAATATGCATTTGAAAGGACAAACAAGTGGCAAATGAAAATTGATATATTCTGACAATGTCTGTTAAGCCTCTTATTGTTCACTACATGTACCATTAATACAGTGAAAACCTGCATTTTCCTGAGTTTATAGCCTAAACGGGTTCTTACATAAATGGTAATTAGCACAAATATTGGCTGTTTAGAATCTTAAATAGAGTCTTATTTTCTTAAGAAAAAGAACATACATTGTAGCTAAGAGTATTACTGTCAGTGGTACATGTATTCAGGTGAATCCTTATCTAAAATTTGCGTACTATATTAGTATTACTGTTTGGTCATAGTTAAATCAGGTCAAAATTTTCTGTGCTTTTGTTGATTGATGCTTTTAGTGTTGGTTAAAGAATATTCCAGTACTGTTTTCCTCTTTATTAACTAGTGTAAAATAATACCTTGGTGTTCAATGCAGTTCCCTCTTTCTCTCCAGGGAAAGGTCTCTTTGTGTCACAGGGAGGCTGGGGAGAGGGAAAAAGAAAGACACGCACGGGATGATGGGAAGGGAAAAGAGAAGAAGAGAGGCAGACATTCTTTTTCTCTTCCCATCATCCACCGCGCGCTTTCTATGTTTTAATCATTGCTATTTTTATTGAAATGAAAGCGGGAGCTAGACTCTAAAAAAAGTCCTTCGTGCGATTTAACTTGTGGCAAGTCTAAGGAGAAGGAGAGAGAAGGCAGTTTCTATCATGAAACTGCCGTTTTATTTTTTGAAATTTGATTAATCGATTTCTGCTCACACCGTATCGAGGCAACAGACGGCTCGACATACTAATGTCACAATGCCAGGGTACATCAAGAAAAACTGGCACATCATTTTATTAAGGCGATATCGCCGGATTTGATTTTTGTCCGACCGGTTGAGGCAACAAACCCCGGGGGATGGGGGTGGGGGGTGCTTGGGTTAATTTTTGCTGGGTACGTGCCGCTGGCCTGTCTGGCCGTACTGTTTGTTCACTCACAGGTAAAAAGGGTAATCCTGACTCTTAGTTGATGCATTCACTTTTCACCATTATACGTGCCGTTGCGTCGACACACCTCGCTTAGTAGGGGGGCAGGTCTATTCTATGGCCAATTATAGACCCTATCTTAGTCACTTTTGGGCAAATACTGTATGTCATTTTCGTTTTCGCGATCCCAACTTAGTCACTTTCTATTTTTATGAATTGACCCATTTTTTAGACTGAATGAAGAACACTTCAGTTTTCGTCTACAGTACAAACATTCTGGCACGTTTGCTAACCGTAAATAAGAAGAACCGTCTTAACCCCCAAAAAACGAAAATGAGCGACCCCATTTTGGTAACTCCATTGCAAATGCGACCCCGTTATAGTAGAGCTCGACAGTTCCCCACATTCGAGAAATGCAAAACTGAAAACAGACGCCTTACTCAGAGACACACCATTGGTGTTCTTGCAACCGTACCATGTCGGTTGTTAGATGATAGGTAATCCCTGTTTTAACCCGATTACCTGACTTAAGTATGAAAAAATGCTGCGTTTATTAGCTAAAGTATATCCACACCCCGAAAGATAAAGTTAACGTGGTCAGATAGTTTAGTGAAATCTCGGCTTTGTTTCCCACGTGTAATTCTACAACGATTCGTGGATAAAAGAGAGGAGTTAGAGAGGAGACTTACGCCCGCTTTAGTGACTAAAACTGTATACATTCGTTTAGAATATTTAACTTAACCCTTGAAATAGATGGTAGACTACTACGGAGTATTACGCTCCAATTTTACTGTTTTGTTTTGTTTACTCCTAACTGTTTGGTACTAATTGTTACGTACTGTTTGTTCACGTACGGGTAAAGTGTAATCCTGACTCTAAGTAGCCTCACACGCAGGCGTTTTTAGGGATCGAGAGCTCGTTTTTCATCCCTCCCCACAAACGCCTGCTTAACCGAAAACCACATTCACTTTTCACCATTATACGTGCCGTTCTAAGATCTTACTAAACAAAGATTATTCTAAAAATGCTGCGTTTTATTAGCTAAGTTAACATCTACAACCAGATACAAGACAGGTCCGGGTCCGGTGTAGTATGATATTTTTGGAAATCATATTTTGTTCACGTTCACGATTCGTGGACACCAAGTTGCTATAAACAAATAAGAATTTATGCACTTTTACTACAAATTGAATCATCAAACATATCGTATTTTAGAATCAAATAGAACAATCAAACAAAAAAGAGGAAGAAGGTAAGAGAAAAAGGAGACCTGACGACAGGAAATTCGTGGCTGGTACGGTAAACCCAGCCAGTTTAACGCAACCGCCGCTCGGTAGGAAGCTGAGCTTGACGAGAGTGCCAGACCGATCGAGTTTCGCGAGGGTTTGCAAATTAAATAATCAGATCCATCGTTGTTTGGCAAGATTCAGTAAAAGTGTACTTACTCTGGGCCTTAAACTAGTACTCTTACATTCCGGCCCTATAGTGGCTAAAGAAAATTCCAAATTCCTTTTTGTAAAATCAATAGATTTAAACAGTGCTATTCGAAAGTTATGACAAATTTAAGAGGTTTTGCTTCAGTATATGGTGACATCATATGATTTCGGCCACAGATTAATACGTTTGAGTTACAAAATCCGAAAATTGTTCTAGGAATAAAAGGGATAATATTTCCTGTGACACTCTTAATCATTCATGCATGGGCAAACAAACGCATCACAACAATACCATACCAATGGTAGAGTTTACGTTGTATTATCAGTGTACTATTTTAGGTCTATTGGCTTTATTGGTTTTATTGGCTTAAACAATGACAAATAATATTGCTCTAATTATATTAATAGTCAACTTCGCGGAAGGAAAACTGACATGACCTAACATGGTCAGGTCGACGGGCGGTCACGTCTCCTCCTTTGAAAGGTTCTCGCGACCCTGGAATCTAATCAACACTACTTTGCCCCGAAAACTGAGAATTTTTCTTAGTGGAAAAAAGTAGGTTTCTGAAACACCGAAAAGACACAAAGGTACGTCAAAGATACACATGTAGTTGTGTATCCTCGTGTATGACTCATTCAAGACTCGTTTCAGATGAAACACATTCCGTAATCACGAAACGCCCTAGAAAAACCCAGAACTCTTGCGCGTGAGCCACGCTTCCGACCACTTCCGACTTCTAGTTCTAACGATTTACTGTCACTGAAAGCCAATGCTCACGTACTAGAAAGAATAAAAAGAGAAGTCTGACGATCGTTCATTATATTGCACCTGGCACTGATTGAGGAGCCGAGACCGTACGGAAGATTTACTGAGTAACAGAAAAAGGTGAGTATCCCGTGAGTATATGTAATGACAGGTTTTCTGTCTTTGAAATATGCTAGCTAGTTTCTGTTCGATGCGGCTCACGTGGCTCCTCGTTATACATTTTTGCGAACACTAACGCCCATATGTTGCCGATACCGTCTCGGATAGAAAAACTCGAGTTCTGCGATTATTTTTATTGGCAAAGTTTGGTTCTGATTAGTAGTTGTCCTCTGAGAAACTAAGAGACAATGCCTTTATCCCGTAAACCCTTACACTCTGGTGAAAAAAGGCGAATCTTTGCAGACAAGTTATGCTACAGAAGGAATCACTGTATACATAAATTTAAGTTTTAAAATTTAAAGAGCTGGTTAGCTTGAGCAATTTATATTTAAGGAAATAGCAGTCGCAGAAACAATTTCGAAATTGCTGGATGGCAAAGATAAATGAGGCCATACGTTAGAAAAATTTCGAGTTTTTAAAAGAGAATTTCTTCGGAATACTACTTTTCCAAAATTATTATTTCAGTGGAATCTTGGTTTTTCACTTGGAAAATGCAAATTGGTTCAAATTACACGATCAGGAGTAGACTGCAAAACAGTCGGTTTTTTTCTCAAAATCGGTTTAGCGTAATAGAGCGTCTCTCCACAGTCTCGCTCTCTGTTTTCAGCCTCGCTCCAGACCTTTTGTTTGACTGTTCGAGCGTAGTTGAGTACGCAAAAATACGGACTGTTTTAGTAATAATAATAATAATAGCTAGTAGTAATGATAGATTAATGAGTGCGTTCGAGTTTTCTTAGCTCCAGATTAGCTTTTGCGTCGTCAAGCATTATTTCAAAATCATGGAAGAGCATGAATTAAAAAGTAAACTTTCTTTTCGTAAAAAAACTCGGATTCAAAATATCTCACTCATTAACTCTTTACTCTTAACATGCCTTACTCTCCCTCAAGCATGGTCGATAAAAATGTAAAGTAAATCGTTAAAAGTTCTATGTTGTTAAAATGATAAACATGTCACAACAAACTTCGAGAAAATGGTAGCCTCGAAGGTTAAAAAGTCCTGGCTTCTTGCGTGACACAACTTGAAGTGAAAACAATGATTATGGAAGCGACAGAAACATATTAGGTTTTTGCTAGATTCGTGATGTCAGAGAACCGGACAGAATCTTTTGCCATTGTGCAAACTTTTCATCTCATGATCATTTTAAGTTCACGTAGGTCAGTTTAACATGTTTTAAACTTAGCTTGCTTCAGCGAGCGAGATACTTATCATGCAAAATGGCCCGCGCGTAGTTATATCAGACGTGAATAAAGCATTCCAGTTGTAACAACCTGCACTGATACGCGGATAAAATTCTTCAAGCTTACTTTATCCCAGAATATTTTTCGTGCATGTAAGAGATTAAACTACAAATACGTAAATAGACTCAAACGCACGGGTAAACTTCTCACGGCACAAATGTTACCTGGTCTTTATTTGTGTCTTTCTACGAAGTTCAAGCTCGATTTGAACGGCATTGACCGAAAAAAGTGTAACAGAGTCATCAGCTCAGTGATAAAAACCGCTTAGAAAAAAACTCCAAAGTTCATTCTTTTACCGAATACAAATATTTCCGTGTAATCATCTTGTTGACCTCGATCCATGGAACCAGAGTGATGCACGTGATTGATATTTTCGCTTATGACAATTGCTTATGGCGTAAATAACGCGAGCTAAATTATTCAAAATGGCGCAGAAAATGCAGACGTACGACGAAACACGCTTACTGAAAAGGTCACCCTCGAGTACCACAGGAATTCCAACTGAGTACCACAGGAATCCCAAGATTATGTCTTGCGAAGATAATAATAATAATTATCACATTTTAAAAATATTTCAGCCCAAACTTTCTTGATCTCTTTCAAACTAGTAAAACAATATTGTAGAAACTGTATTAAACAACGCATTTATGGCGGCTCCTCATTGCCTAGCTAACAGTAAATTTATTTTCTCAGCTTCAGCTAATAATGAATCGCTTGGTGATTATATTGGTAGTTGCTCTTGCCGTGACCATGTGTTCTGTACCAAGTGAAGGTAATATTGAATTTCTTGTTTTGATTCAGTTTAATTAGTTTAAATTTCGGGTGTTTCTTTGTGTTGGGAAACCATTGTTGCCCGAGGGGGGTACTGCCACATATGGTCTATATAGGTATGTGCCGCTGTGAAGGGTATGGTTTTCAAGCAGTTTACTCTAGGATAGGGTATATAAATCAGAGCGTTTGGGTCTATAATAGGGTATCATTTTTCAGGAAACTGATCAGTTGGTTGAAGAGTTTATCTAGACTAGGGATTGTGGTACTGATTAGGTTTTGTTTTGGCTAGACTGTGCTAGTGACCTCAGTGGTTTCTGGAAAACAGCTACTCTAGGATAGGGGGGATTTGGGGAGTTTACTCTAGCATAGGGTAGCAAAATTCATCTGAACTAGCTCTAGTATAGGTTAAGGGTTCCAGGATCCCAGCGGCACATCCCCACCCAGAAATTCCTAAAGTACCCCCTCCTCCCAGGCATTGTTGGTTCGCTTTTGTGTCGTGGTACGGGTATTGTTCTGCGTGTTTTCAGTCTTTTGCATTACGTCATTTCGTGATCAAACCCATCCGCAATACCAGGAGCCCATAGGCTCCTGGCAATACCCAGAAGCTACCAAATTTTCAGATTTGTTTCTTAAACTCATTAATAATTCATGAAGAAAGTAGCCCTCGTAGCTGACGGGATTATTAAATGCGCGGGGTCGTCAGCCTCATTCACGATCACCCTCGGGGATGTCTGATGTGACGTCACCTGTTAAAGTCTATCGATTGGTTCCAACCTTTTTCCACTCACTCAGAACTAGCCTGGAGACGAGGCTGGCGGGGGATGCTTTCCGTTGGAGGGATTTAGCGGTTCCGCCACCAAAACTCAACAGCAATCGAAAAGATCGGAAGACGACAAAGAATTCGAAATCCCGTGCCTGAAATCGATAACTCCAGACTACCTTAGATTAGGACCATGATTAGGACCTAATCCAAACAAGGTTGTGATTGGCTGGGAAAACAATATGGATGGTGACATAACAATGCCCATATCCCTGAAAATAATAGGTAGTGCAGGTTATAGGGACCGATGAAATATCAGGTTTGCATGGGTGCGGGTCAATCGTTAGATTAACCTACGGTACATAAGGCGATTCATGATAGGTAGACTTTCTTATCACTTTCACCAGAAGCCCGATCTCGCGCGGCCACGTCCCTTAGGTCAGCCAAAGGACCCCAAGGTACAAACTGTGCTGACTTATGCAGTAACTGTCCCAATTCCTGTGTCTGTGACTGCTCCGGTGGTGAATGTTCAGTGGCTCACTGTTCCTAGTTCTTCCTCTTTGATATTTCAATCTGGACGTGCAGGAGGACAATTTAGACTGATATAATAAAAGAAAATGTAAAGCTGATGAAACGGAGGATGTTCAGTAGATATGATGTAAAACTTGTTCTATATATAATTTTGTACCTTGTCAGAGCACTGGAAACAACTGTATAAACAGGATGATGTTTTTTTTAAATTTTTGCACCGAGTTGGATCTTCTTGTCACATTAAAATATAGAAAACCATTTACAACGAACGCTTGATTTTTCCTACCGTCTATAAAGTGTACACAATTAACTGCACATGCGCCTTTCATTTTGGCCGCATTTCCGCTCATTTCCTTTTTTTGTGGAGCATATAAAAACGTGACAGGGGCACCCAACGTCAATTTTCGGAAAACATCTGTTTGGAAGACGATTTGAGATCTAGAATTTTCGGGACATTTGTTGTAAAATTTCTTGCTTCCCTACCTCTCCTAGGATTTTCGAACATCTAAAAAACGGCATAATTGCCCATTTTTAACGAAGTTTTACCCCAAAAAGGTCACCTAGAATTTTCTGGAGCCTTTTTTCTGGCTGAAATTTTCGGAAAGGTAAGTTTTGACCCCTATAATTTTCGGATCTCTAGACTTTCAGCTAGGAAATCCAAACAGATGAAAAATTTTTAGGGCCGGGATAAAAATATGCCTATAGCTACCGTTTAAATACTAAAATACGTTTAACAATGCTATGTTTAAGTGGTTTTGAACTATATTCCCGTTGGGTGCCCCTGACGTGATGGTGACTTTTACTTTCTGGCTATTTATCAAAGTTACTGTGTATTTTCCCTTCTCTTTTCGCAAAAAATTTCAACAAAGCACGATATAACAGCTACGAAAATCTCGGCCTACCAGTTTTTAGCACTGAAGGTTCCAGTCTTGAGGAGAAATAAAGCCACCAACTCCAGTATTTCAACCGATCCATTTTCAGCTGCAACGAAAACCCTTGTATTAGGTAATTTATTCAAGTTTGAAAGATTTGCCATCACATTCGCACGGGCATTTTGCCATTGGGAATTATGAAAAGAATAAGACAATTGTCATATTTTCTTCATCTTTATCCCCAAGTGGCAAACTTCCTGTGCGACGGTCAAGTCTAAAAACCTTGAATAAATTACCAAGTACAAGGGCTTTCAGTGCAGCTGAAAAATGGACGGTTAGAAGTACTGGAGTTAGTGTCTATATATTTCTCCTCAAAACGGAAACCAAACCTGCAACGCTAATATACTAAATGCGGGGCAAGATTAAAAAAATTCTATTTATCAAACTTACTTTGTATTTGTCCCTCTCTTGCCTTGTTAAGACAGGTTTCGAAAACAGAAGTTTTTTAATCTTGCCCCGCATTCAGCAAAAAGTTGTTCTTCTTGTATTACGAACTGTATTCGCCGTAGGTTTCTGATTATGAAGCTTTGGGCAAGAATACACTTGCAGATAGTTACATCAACTTTCACAAACGTGTTATTGTTGCATTTTAAGGTTAAATTCGACCAGCTATTTGCGCAGCGAGTTTTACTACGGTCGCGATTGACTTCAAACTTGCAGATATAAAACTAGAAAGCTCTGAGAGTTGTTTGCCGCAGTTAGAGAATATTTGTCTCAGGGTTTTTGAAAGTATTGACTTTTATTTGTAAAAATGCAGTTTTAAACATATGCAGATATATCAAATGTTTTTAACCTACAAGAAAATAAAAAACGTTTTCTTAAAGTTTGACCGTTCTTTATTAAGGATGCCAAAAATCATGGAAATCGGTTAAATTATTCCTGCCGAAAAACGTGATTCAAAAACATAACCAACGCGCATACAGCTGTTTCGAGAAAGGTTGTCGGGAAAAGTGCACGCGACAGTCCTGAAAGGCATTGTGGGTGGTTTTGAGTTCTCTTTTTTTCAAAGGAATTTGAAAGAATTGGTAGGAAAGGCCATGGAAATGTGTTTGCGAGTGCTAAAGGAAAGCTACAGAAGTAGGTTCGACAGCTACAGTCGTCAGGAACAGTGTATTGATCATATCCCATATTACCTTTCGGGATTGTCGCGTGCACTTTTTCCGACAACCTTTCTCGAAATAGCTGTATAAATAGGACTGGTTTGGGCCACCTTAAACTCACTGGAACTTGTTTTGTTCTCGAAATGTAGAGGCTGTTTGACCACTCACAACAAATAACCGCTGGTGTCCGGCGGCGCGGATATTGGCAATCTTTCCTATGAAAAAGGCGCACATCTCATTAGCAAGTTGCTGTTTATCCTTGCGAGTGCCACTGAATAGAAGTGCTTGTAATAACGTGTGTGCATGTGTACTGAGATCATTAATTACCAATATTGGTAATGAGATCACTATAATAGTCCTGACGAGCTCTCTGTATAAGAAAGATCGGATAGTTTTCTCCTTCTCGGTCCTTCTCTTGAACAGAATGACGTGTTATGTATGACTCATACATACGCCATTTAAAAACGCATTTCCTGCAGAAGCCCACACAGCACTCGAGCGCGCCGCGCCAGCTACGCAGGCTAGCCACTTCCGACAACTTGCTCTCAGGATCTGCAGTCATTAAAAGCAATGCTCACGTACTAGAGAGAATAAAAGACAGAGGGTTTTTCGAGAGTTTAACACATTGCTAACGCTGAGCGATCGCGGAGAAGGCCGACAACGCCTATTTAGAAAGAGACGTACGCAAGGTTTAGTAAGTAACAGGTGACCATACAATACCTGGCTTTCTCCTTTTACCTACAAGTTTTGGTTTAATGCGGGTTTTTGCCAATAGACCTCTTGAGCTGGTATGTTCTGTTGTCCCAATGTAGGTCATGTGATAATACTCTAGAGAACTGCTTCTTTCGCATTAATTTGTGAAAGGACAAAGGTGTACATTTCCCTGCGACCTTAATTGGGACAACAAAACATACAAGTTAAAGAGGTCTATAGACCTTATTCACGATAGCCACCGTCTTTGCATCTTTGCAGGAGCGATCTGTAAATCGCCACTATTATCTGATGAGGACCTGTAGTGTGCGGTCGAAAAGTCGCGATCAATATCAAAGTAACAATCATGAGACAAACGATAAACTAAACCCTTTATACACATTATCCACGATGATCAATGTCTTTCATGACAAGCAACATCGCGTGATTTCTTGAGAAGCAACAACCGACAAAAGCTGCTAATACAACCAATTGCGGGATTCAAGTTTTCTACGCATGACAACATAGATAAGAAACGTTTTTAAAATCTTGAGGATGATTATCAACTCTGACGTGGAAAATCAATTTATACACATTTTCAGCTTCAGTTAATGATGAATCGTATGGTGATTTTGTTGGCAGTTGCTGTTGTCATGGCTATGTGTTCTGTACCAAGTGAAGGTAACAAGAATTTCTTCATATTTTTTTTTTATCCACACATAATTCATGAAGGAAGAAAGAGCAAAATCACTACCTTAAAAAATTTTTGATATTGGATTTTAATTAGCACAAAATTCAAAATTATTATTCTTTTGAAGAACTACATCAGACACTTCACTTAGTGTTTCAAACTCATTCGAGACAATGCAAAGTCGTTCGAAAGAACTCGACTGCTCCTCTACCCAGTTCCTGGTGGTTGGACATTGTTTAAGCACACTCTCACGTGTTTTATATATAGAGTGTTTTCACTCACGTGGCCAGCATCTATGCAAATTTATTGGAACAAAAGAAATCGTTTGCATAAGAAAAGAGTACAACTCCCGCGGGATTGGTTTGGGACACCAACATGGCCGCCGTGACGTCATGTGAAAACACTCCATTCTACTTACTAGAAATATGTGAATCGCATGTACGAAACTCGCGAAGCAGAGAATATTAGACGGCCTGTACTATGAATAAATTGCCTGCGTTGCAGACGTTCTAAACCTTCTGTACAGAATATACAAATGGTTTTGACGAGTGCATGGGCCGGCTGCAACGTAGGCTATGAATAAAAGTAGCCAATAGCATAGGCAGTTATGGAGCACGTGCAAATGCTCCGTAAAATGTGAAAATATGACTTGTTACGTACAATACAATACAATACAATACAATACAAATTTTATTGTCAACTCCCCATGGGGGCTTTTCAGAGACAAATATTAATAGTACGGGTAATCAAAAAAACAAACAAACAAAAAAATACCCAAGAATTGTCAATACACAATTATTAAGAAACTGTTTGCATATAGACTTACGACATCACAAATTGATTATCAATAAACTATTAAGAAACTATTTACATATAAATTTATGACATTACTTCGTAGCGGTTGGTGCAATGGCAGCAAAGAAGTGTAACAAAAAGTGTGCAAAGTTGCTGTTATTCGTATTAAACATACTGCTTTTAACTGTTCCCCGCGTTCCCGCCGTCGTCGCTTACACTCCCTAACCGAATACTCGGCAAAGAATCTACCTTCAGTTGCAGTTAGGTTAACTCTGAGAAACAAAGTGTTCAAAACCATTTGCGTTATCCGTTTCCTTTTAAAAATAGGGTGTCCATTTTCAATTTATTCCCTTTAAATAGAGTTAGGGTTTGAAAACCTCTGTAAAACGCACCAACCATAAAATAGCTCTTTTTCAAAAATACCATTAAAATTATAGTTTTTTACTCTTTTTCCCAAGAGAAATTGAGAACAAAGATTATAACAAAAAGTATCATGGTATTTTTGAAAAAGGTCTATTATCTCGAGTAATCTCCAGGGGCTTTCATGAACAGGTAATCCTTTTTATCTCTTTCACCAGGAGGACCAGGAGCCCGGTCTGCCCGCTCTGCCATCGCCACAGCCCATAACACAGCGAGAGGACAAAATTCAAACAACACCTCGTTGTTCGTATTTAAGCCACGTACAATTAGAATATGAAAGAATCAAACAATTACGGCTCCTGTTGCAAAGCGGTGTCGATCGACTATCGTCGACAAAATTTTTCTGTATGTGTCGATTTGCAATTTTGGACGTTGGATATTTCATGTTTTTTATTTTTTACAGAACTAAGGGTAGTACCTTCCGGCAAGTGCCAACGAGGCGAATTCGTTTATCTTTTGTAGAATGTGCCTATCCAGAGATTTGTTACATAATTTCAGAGGTTTACAATGGATTTCGCTATAGAAAAGGATTGCACTCAACTTTAGAAAAAAACCTTGGCTATATTCTAGGCTTTCACTTCTATTAAAAAATAACAATATGACTTGAAGCTTTGTTGTCTTTGTTGGTAAATTGGTGCAAGTTAGCACTCATATTTTGTGGAAATTCAAAATCATAAACGTTAGAAAGTAAAATATTGTTCAAGTGAGGCCTTGACTGCTAAAATTAAAATTAAATTCCGAGCTTTTACAGATCAACGGCATCATAAGGGATAAGAAAAATATTCCGCATGGTAATATACATATGAAAAAATTGGTGTAAGCAAACTGTGTGAAAAGCGCAAGAATGGTGCGGAATAGACCTATTCGGCTAACTCAATGTTGTACCCGATTCAAACCCTTTGGGAGTAAAACGTTCTGTTTCAGGAATTTCCATATCATTTAAATGTGAATGCCACGTTATAATGCAAATGCAATACACAAAGAATCTTATCCCCGGGAGATTTGAATTGGGTACAACATTGAGTTAGCCGTATAGGTCTATGTATCCGGAGGTATAAAAATTTAAAACTTGAATAAAATACAAAGATCTAATGAGTTAGAGGCACAGGACAAAGAGTCTCACGAAAGGAAAAATGATTCGTAATGATGGTCTTTAAAACAAAAGGTCCGCAAATTCGTTGCATTCGTCATGGTAGTTTAGGGCTGTCTTCAATATAATCGAGCTGCAAAAAGACACGCAGGTTGACAAAAATCTCTCCAAAGGCAAAAATAACTTCTAAAAAACAAAAAGTCCTCAAATGCGTTGCATTCCTCACGGGAGGTGAGGACTGTGGCTCAATGTAAATCGAAATGCGAAGATCACGCTGCTTCTGATAAACTTTTTGATAATACAACCCTATTCCTTGATTAAGTACCGCATAAAATTCAACGTACAAAACCCTGGTTCTGAGTCGAGAAACGAACACGCTACCTCAATGGAGTAACTCGAGCTGCGAAGAACAAGGTTTTGACAAAAATTGGAGCGTAAAAGCCTATTCCTATAGCTGCTGCTTTAAACGCAATTTATAAAGCAAACCAGAGCCCTAATAGCCCTCTCAAAGTAGAAATAATCGTATTAAAGCTTGCTCACCTGTTAGGGCGTCTTAAACAGAAACGAACAAGACGAACAGCCACGAGTTGCAGACATGGATCACCCAAATTCGAGCCACGAGTTGTAAATACATGATCATGACGTCACTGCCCAAATATGGGGTCTTACTTACACCCAAATATGGTCAAAAATACAAGCTCGGTTTGCATTTATTTTACCCCCTTTCACCTTTCTCCATCAGAGCTCCGATTTACGGGTACGGTACCATTATTTAAGAGCAGTTGTCTGTAAGATTCGAGCTATATTAAAAAGGCGCTGCCACCCTATCTCACCGAATTGGCTAAAAATTGGCATGTAGACTTGATTTGAGGTCTTTAATAAGGAATAGGTAACTTTAGGTTCTAATTCCTCCTACCCGACATCCCACCGGCGCCAATTGGTTAATAGAAGCTGCTTTTGAGCCTTCGACTACAACCCTGTCTTCAAAGCTAATCTTCCTTGCCAATACAGATTGAAAGAACAATCCCTCTTTATTGTATTTTTAGAAACTAATTCGAAATTGATAACGGTTTCGTTTAAACTTTTGGGTAGGTACACCCGCAAAAAATTAACAGAATTTTAAAGGCGCATATCTTTTTGCCACATCGCATTGAAGCTGCCTGACGTTTGCAAAATTAAAAAATTGGGCAAATTTAACGGAGCAGAAACAAAAGTAATGAATGGAAGATCAAACTTTTGCTAATCAATTACCCAGGTGTTGCCAAATTACAATCGATAATAGAGTTTCTGTCATTAAATCACCAATTAGCCTCTGAATATAATCGATAACTCTGCTAAAAAGGCAGATTGTATAAGGAAAAGGAAAATGAATTTGTTATGTTTATGCCTAAACAAAATTCAACCATCACAGTCGAACTGGAATTTTCTATTTTTCTCCAGTTCCTTTACCGAAACCAGAGCTTTTAAAATTAACCATAGTAATGAAAATTGAGATGTATTACTTAGACGAAAAGTTGCCAGTTTCAACCTTGATCGAAAAAAAGTAATATTTTCCCACGCATATCGCGGGTCATCACGTTCCTTGCCTGGCGTTAAAAACCGCCTGGTTTCAAAACAACTGCTGAAGAATCCGTGAAAATCTTGTAGCCAGCAATAAAAATAATGGAAGTTGATATAAGTTATCATTATTAGTGAGCGAGGATCGATGCGATTTTCCAGCTACGTCAGCGTTTGAAGATTTACTCAAAACTCATGAGACATGAGCCTTGAAATAGGTTTTAAAATTGGGCGTTGGCAAAAGTTGAATATTAAACACCGTTAACAACGGTTCCGTGTAAAATTTTGTCTCCTGAGGAGATTCTTGATAAACAACGTTAAGAAGAATGAGGATGAGCCCGGGAGAGCAAAACCACAGTCACCCCACCGAAGGGCTTTAAAACTTTGCCTCACCCTAGGGACAATTCCAGATTTTTGTTTCCTTGAAAAAGCCGCTAGACAATGCATGGACAACTCAAGACAGGCCATTCAAAATAAAGAAACAGCAAAGAAAATTCAGTTAGAGACAGAAAGTGTTTATCCGATTTAAGGAGTGATTGAAGATGTGTCTGCAGTTTAAAGTAAAATCATTTACCATGCTCACGGACCTTTCGACAACATAAGTTATTTAAATCCGTGGTAAAAACGAACGCTTTTTACTGTAACGATGACGTCATCATAGAAAAGGCAACTTCACATCCAGAATTTCAAACAGTCAAAAACCTAGTTTTTCTCTGCTCGTCAAATGAAAACGCCTCTGAGGACAAGTAGTGGTAATGTGCTTGTTAACGTCAACATAAGGAGACATTCATTATCAACTCGGTTAATGTATTGATAAAAACTTTCTCCTTTACCCTTAGGGACAGAGTTCAAAAGGCGCAAAAGATTTTAGTTCAGTTCAGCTCTAGCATGTGTTGTCTAGCGATTTGCCTTGAGCTTCTTTAAATTTTTCAATCAAACAAGCTGTGCCCATTGTACATAATCTTGTCTGGGCTCCCTTGAAAAAATTGCAATTCATCAGATGCCTTCAAGTTCATCCTCGGCCGCGACAACCTGATCTATTTTAATGGGTGGTTTCAGGAACTATCCTATGGCTTGGTCCTTTCTGGTCGGTTACGTTGCCTCGTTGGCAATAAGTAGCACCAAGAGCCATTTGGTAGCACTCGATAGCATTTAGCGGGGGTCGAACACGAACGGGGCGAATACAGCTTTTCCCATCCCAAAACCTGCGACTGTGCTTGCTCGTGTGGTGTTTGTACAGTTGTTCATGTGACGTGCAAAAAACCTCAAATTCTCAATTCCCTGCCTTCACCGGAATGAGCTGAACCTCATAAATCGTGACTAGATACAATAGAGTTCTTAACGAAAGGAGATCTAATGGTAAAGGCTAAGTGTCCTTATTTTACGTCGGTAACTTGTAATAGTATTATTTATTAAACTGAAAAACCTGAGGCCAACGTTGCATTTATTTTACCCCCTTCCACCTTTCTCCATCAGAACTCCGATTTACGGGTACGGTACCGTTATTTAAAGCTTTTTAAAGCCACACAGATAGGAGAAGAAGTCGAAACAAGGACTGATTTGAGGTCACACCTGGCTATGGAACTGATGGACCCACCCGCACGGACAACACAGGATTTTGTCAATAAATTCAATAGTTAGAGTGTCTAATCAGATATTCATCAAAGTGCCAAAAGGGCTACAAGAACAACCAGAAAACTGCTTAAAAACTACTGAGTGCACCTACTCTCCAGTCGACTATCTGTAACGTGGCGTAAGTTTATAAAAATAGTCCTTCTTGTAACTTTGTTTTGAGATGTTGCGAGAGCCATTAAGGCCTTAAAAACTCATTTAAACTCTTAACCTTCTCTTTCCTACTTTTCCATGTTTTCTTTTATATGCAAATTACCTTTTTCTACTTCCTGGAATTCTACACTAAAAAGTTTCAAGAACGAAGTAATTCAGGATGGGTATTCTTGTTGTTGTTGCTGTTGTTGTTTTATTTCTTTTCTCACTTCCTCTATTTATGGTAGATGTTTTTTTGTTGTTGTTGTTCTTGTTGTTGTTGTTTTTTTTTACTTGAATCCCCTGTTCTTCTTTTTAACACCCTCCTTTAATTAGAACAGCTAAAAAAAATTTTTTTACCTTACTTTCAATGTTCTAAAGAACGAAATAATATTATAGATGATCATATTTTGTGGTTAGCTATTTATCTTCTTTAATAACAATTTTTAAAGAGGGTTTAACCCCTCCCCCCGCCCTTTTTTTCCCCCGCCCATTTCCTTTTTCTTTTAGCTGGGATAAATTCGTCCCCATGCTCCTCTCATTTTGCATTAGAACAGCAACTGGCTTTTTAGCTACTTTCAAAGTTTTAAGAACGAATTAACATTATAGATAATTATATTTTCTGGTTGGCAGTTTATTATTTATTTATTTATTTATTATTATTATTTTTAAAAAGTCATTTTTAAGTAGGGTAACCCCCTTTTTTCATCCATTTTCGTTTTCATTCAGCTGGGATAAGTTCGTCCTCAGACTCCTCTCATTTTGTACGTCATCATGCTGACGATTAACTATGGCGTGAGCAGCAAAAAAATTGTTTTTGCTACTGAGAGGAGGAAGAGGAATTTTTGTCTACTAGCTGAGGAGTTTCCAAGTTTTTTTGCTCGCTAATTAGTCTGCTGCAGAGGCTATCCGAAGTATTTTAGAGTAAGTAATCATTTACTTTTTATTTCCAAGACCTCTCAGTCCTTTCATGTGTCAATGCTGCAGGCATCTTACTACGGCTATAGCTAATGGATCTATTTGCCCTAGAAACCTGTTTCCCTCGTTTCAAGGCCCTTAACTTTATATTATATTATATTAAATTATATTATATTATATTATATTATATTATATATTAACCCTTCAGTTCCTTTTGTTTTATTTTGCACTGTGTATTGTGTTGGACGTGGCTGCATTGCAGTTTGTTGGTCGCTCAATATCGGTGTTTTTAACTTTTAACATTTTACTTTGCACTGTATATTTGTGTTGGACGTGGCTGCATTGCAGTTGTTGGTCGCTCAATATTGGTGCTTTTTCTAACTATTTAACTATTAACCAATTTTATTTGTTTTTATACCTACAACACTCTCATTTACACACACCCTCCCTCCCCACCTTACCCACTATTTAGTGCAGACTTGGGAACCCTTTCATTAGGGATTCCATACCACACCTGTAATGCCACAAAGGTTGCTAGAGAAACTACTGTTTTTTTTTTTTTTTCAAAGCCAGAGGTAAAATCAGACTGTTTACACTCGCAGTTTTGTATTTTCTCTTGTGATTGTCGGGAGTGATCACCAAATTCCAGAGGCCCCATCCATTTTTCATGTGGAGAACGCCGGAAGTCTGTAGAGAGTGTAAATTAGCCTCCCAAGATTTAATTTCCCTCATCATCATGAAATCTCGACATCTGTTAGCCTGTCGAATTCGGCGATTGATCACGACAATCACACGGTAAAATAGGGAGCTGTAAACATTCAAATTAGTGACTTTTAAAACTTGATTATATTTTCCGTTATTGCTAGTTCCAAAAGTAATCTAACGGCATGTTATTTGGTTGTTTGTTCCAGGCACTAGAACAGTTTGTAATGCCTCATCTGCGCACATACTGGAATCAGCTACAGCAAGTTCTAGATGATACTACCCAATCGAATGCTCTTTTGCAAGATGAAGCCTATCAAGTTTACGGAGCCCTTCTTGTAAGAAATGTGACAGCGCTTCTTCATATTATTGGTAGTTACCCAGAATTAGAATTAAATGCGAGCAAATTTAGCTCGGCAGGGATTGTAAAAAAGGAGGAATTATCTAATTAGGAGACTGAGCCAACTTAACCTAATTTGATAAAGGTAGTGAAAAACTTTCTATCTTGTTTGCATACGTTTCAGATTTTGCTCATAAATTGTCATGCACCTGAAGTAGACTAGTATTTCTTCTAGTAGTACACGCGTCCGTTCTTGAAGGAGATCCGGAAAGAAACCTTTTGTCTTTATCTTAGAGCTGGGTTGTCTTCTGTAATTTTAGTTCTATAATGCAGTTTTATTTGGCACAACCATGCACTGACTTAAAATAACGTGTTCGTTATTTTCCTTCTTCAGCAGGCCGCTGGATGCCTTTTGAAATCCAAACAATTTGGTGTGCCTATCTCCTCTATCGGGTCTCAAGTCAACAACTCGCACCCATTCCTGCGCAGCAATCTTTCTCCATGGGCTGGGACGAGCGTAATTCAGCGCCCAGCTCCAGTGGGTTCTACGCGATCGCGGTCCAGTTCGACTAGTCTTGCATCTAACTCCCTTCAATTGTACCAACAACTCTACGAGCTGTTTGGAGATAGTTTAGGCCCCAGAATTGCACATAACAACTGGCAAGACGCCGCTGTAACTAAAAACAATCAGCTGCGGATGCAACCATTTGCCCATGCGTACTTTCCATTACACCCGCTGGCACGTGATGCTAACGTGATCAAAGAAATAATAATCAAAGCGAGAGAGAAGCTACGGCTAGTGAGTCCCCAAACACCGGCGTAAGGAACCAAGAGAAAAAGAACGACCAGCGAGAGCGGATCAGCTCATAAGAATTTAGAGAAACGGGCAGGAACAAAAGCTAAACGCATTTGCATGACATTAAGCCCTGCGCGAGCGAGACTTCAACAAGTCCCAATGGATTTAGACCTTGAAGAACCCAATCCCTCACGAAGCTCCAAGAGGGGCGGTCACAAGGCTTTTTTTGTTTGCCAGGGATACAAGCACAAGGAGGCCGGAAACATTCGAAGAGAGCTATTGTTACCGGACGCATACGTAGAAAGTTTAGAAGAATCAACCCTTCTTTGAATAATGCGTCGAAGTATGATTATCATTTAGGTGTAATATTATAGTGTTTCGCTCGCACTTTTTGTTAGATACCATTATTACAGAACAAAGCTAGACTCGACGCTTTTTGGTGAAACATGTAGTGGTACGTATCACTGCGGAAGAGAAAAGTGGTAACTTTCTTCACCTCGTTGAGAGCTTTAAATATATTTCTCAAACTCATAACTATTTAGTTGGCATGTTGTTCAATAAGGTTCCGTCCAAACGCATCCAGATATTTTTGAAAACGGAGATTTTTTCATCCGTCTTAGCCTTCCTTCCACACGTCAACGCCGTTTCCGAGCACCAAAAACGCATTTTTTCGAAAACGGTCCCCAGAGTGGAGTGTTTTTGAAAATGCCGGTTTGTGGTTTTGTGTGGACAAAGGAAAGCGTAGATATTCGAATATGATGATGTCATGCATCATACAGCGCATACAATGTAAGGCGTGAAATCGTACGTGTATTTCCATCGTTTTAACGTTTTCGCGTGGACGGGCGAAAACGATTCGAGTATGCTAGATGTGGATGCGTATTTTTCGAAGGCGGAGAAAAAAATCTCCGTTTCCAAAAATAACTGGATACATGTAAACGAGGCCTAAATCACGTACTTGGATCTTTTTACTCGGTAAAATTCATCAGTCTGAAAAGGTAACTAAGGGAGGGATTTGAATCCAGCCTCAGAGGAAATACGTTTTAGAGAATTTTATCTTCTGAACATGACGTTTTATTGAAAACGTTCAGTCTAATTTGCATCAGAAAAAGTGAAACATAGACCCAAAATCTATAAAAAAAATAGTCAGTCTAAAAGAATCAAAAAGTCGTTGGCCGGTCAAAACGTGTTGTAGTTTTAAAACACAGCACGAAGTTTATTAACCAGGCCCCAGTTGTTCGAAAGGTGGATAGCTCTATCCACCGTATAAATCACTATCCAGTGGATAGCGTAATTGGTTTCCCTAATAGTTATCCACTGGATAGAGACTTATCCGGTGGATAGCGCTATCCAGCTTTTGAACAACTGGCCAGATGCGGTTGTTTGTTGTCCTGCATTGCAAGAGACGATATCTTACCTAGCACTGGTTGAGTGACAATTTATCCTTTCCAGTCAGCAATTCCATTGAAATTTTCATCGCCTTTTATGTCGAGATTTAGTGACAATCCCCTCGAGCAGTTTCCTGTCTTCTTGTCCAGTTTTTGACGGAGGAAAATTTTCTTTTGAGTAGCGGCATCCTGAAGGCTTGTAGCTGCTGAACTGTGTTGTCCAGTTTAACAATTTATTTGCATCACTATAGTTAACTAGCCTTTGTTCTTTGGTTGTTTTCGTTTTGCATTTTTTAACAACACGCTTTTTGAGAAAACAATACACAAACCAATAACAACAGAAATCAGAGAAATGCAACACATCTGGCCCGGGTTGTTCGAACGTTGGATAGCGCTATCCACCGGGTAAATCGCTATCCAGAAGTTAAGTATTCGGGAAACCAATTGCGCTATCCACCTTTTGAACAACTAGTGCCTGGGACATATCTTGAAGCCTTTCAAAACATTCGCAGCACGTGCTTTGTCAAGTCTGAAAATTCTAACACTTGGTGTGCGAATTTTTTTTAACTTGATAAAACACTACTGTTCGTGTTCATCTGATATTGAGAGAATCGGTCTACAGGACGTCGCTTCCAAAAAGAGATCCAAAAACGTCCACTTTTCAGAATGAATTAGAGCGATTTCTAAGTTAAGATATCAGTGTAGTTCCATGAAGGTTCTCACAAGAGATTAAAGTAAAAACAAAGAAAAAAATTAAAAAAAGAAAAAAGTGGGCGCAGTCTCTTACGAGAGGTTTTAACTATAGGGTTATTACTGGGAAGCTTTTGGTGCTTTGAACAGTTGGATAAATGGTCGTGTTCGCTTGCGAAAGATGGTCGTACATGGAGGTTCGATTGTACTCAGATTTCCCCACACAAAAATAAACGAGTTTTCACGTAAAAGGTGTCATTCCTGAATAACATTCGTGCAAGGAAAATTAAAACTCCATTTTTCACATCACTTACACCCCGCGAGCAGAGCCTCCTTTTGTCTTCTTGATCGAGTGAGGAGGAGAAAAGGAGGCTCTTCCTGAATCGCGTCGTCAAACCTTTGAAGTCGCCGCAGCCCAAATTTTTCGACTAGCCAATCTTGTCTTCTGGCGTCAGACCACAGTTTTTTGAGTGCGAGCATCCCGTTTATTGATAATTCGATGATCATAACTGAGCCGGCTGTACCAAGTGTACGGCTCTTACACCTGGTGTTGAAAGCGCATGCTTAACAAAGATTTTATCCGAGTACGCCAAAATCCATCCTCGGAGACCCAGGGGCAGATAGTGGGGGCGAGGGAAAGTCTAAACGGGCGGAAAAATATATATGGAACGAAGAAAAGTAAAGAACGGCGAGAAGAGCCCCTGGGAACAATGTCTTACAAGTTTTCTGGCACCAATCAGAAGCCAGAACGGCGGCGACCGTTTGGAACTGGTCTGGTAAGACATTGTCCCCAGGGGCTCTTCTCGCCATTCTTTACTTTTCTTCGTGCCACATTTTCCCGCCCGTTTAGACTTTCTCTCGCCCCCACTATCTGCCCCTGGGTCTCCGAGGATGGCCAAAATCAAGCAAGCAGGCAGGATGTCACACTTATAGCCAATAAAATGTTTTACACCTAATTCGCGTAAACCTGATAAAAAATCACCTACTTCGATTTCGAGTTTCGACCACTCCTATTAAATGAAAAGGAAGAGAAAAAGCTTTCAACTTGACCACTTAGCGAAGAAACTATTTAACCTTGTGTGCCTATAGCTGTCAGTGCTTCAACAAGAACAGCGAGAGAAGTTTAACCTTTCATGAGTTTTCCTCTCAAGACTTTTCGCTATAATTACCTTTCCCCCTACCCCTGGCTTGTCACTGGAATTACGCAGTAAATTTTACATTTTAGTCAAGCGTAAACAAATCGAAAAGGAAGCGATATTCTCATGGCACCAAAAAATTCCTCATGCATTTGGCAGTTCAACACGCGCGAAATACGAAATTCAATTTTTACTTGGAAAGTGTAACCGGGTTACCTAGCAAAGAGATACGACATTTTCAGCCCTAAAACTTTCAGATTGCAGCACGTGTGTATCATCAATACTGCTTATAAGGGCCATTTATATGAGGAAAAATAAGACCCGAACTTTTCGTATAAACGGCACATTTCGTCTAAAATAAGACGCGACTTAGCTAAGACGCGTCTTATTTTAGAACATCCCTCAACACCTGTTCTTAGATAAGACGTATCTTAGCTAAGACGAGAAAAACTTCGTATAAATGACCTTAGCGTCTTATGTCTTGATTTCCATTGTCGCGTACTTTTTACGTGCGCACGGGCGTAAAATTTACGTTTGCAAATAAAATAGAGGCAATGTATGTAAGGTCGCACGAAAATGTAAAAGTTAAACCTCGCTCAACTTCACATTTAATCTCAACACTTTATATCTTGCCTCTTTTTTGTTTACGTGATTAAAAAATTACGTGCGTTAAAGAACGTAGCCAAAAACGCGTCAGTGGAAATCAACGTTAAGACGCGAACGCATACTACGCATGCGTTAAGTTTTGGCACGCCATGTTGGATTACCGTTGCTACAGGCAACACTTACATGAAAACGAGTCAAGAACAGAAATAAGACGCGAACCATTTATACGAGCTGTATTCGTCTTAGATAAGACATGCTCGCATCTTATTCAAGACGCGTCTTATTTTTCCTCGTGTAAATGCTTATGGCCCTATAATTAGTTCACATAGGAAGAATCTCCGGTAGACAGCCCTGTTAAAAAGCTTGGAGATCGCTATTTAAAGAACAAGCATCATTCTAGATCTTTTTAACTTTAAGTTTTATTGCTTTTTATGGATTAGAAGTCTGTGTGAAACAGTCTCGAGCGCTTTACGCCCTGGTTTCCTGTCATTTGAGGGCTGCCCATGGCACAACTCGGTTATTTGCACCACCCATACCCAGACAATTACCATTTTTCTAAAACATTTTGGTCTTTGGAACTCTAAACATGTTCCAGATTTACAAATGATTGATCGTTGCTGTAGTCACTGATTTAATATTTAGATGTATGATTTTGAAATAGACGCTTACCTCGAATAAACGCCCCATCGGATACGCTTAGAATGAGCAATTCTCTTTTGCTACAAAGAATCGGAAGAATGTAACTAGTAATAGTTGACACTACAGCTGTCCCCGCTCTGTATATTGTCGGTCAATAGCATTCTTGGTCGTATTCCATACAATAGATGAGGTAAAAACAGGAAACGCAAGGTTCCATGCACAGTTTCAGTTCGATTTACACAGCTTTGATCAAAACATTCTCACTTTCGAGAATAGTTTATTCGAAACCATAAGAAAAGATTTAATTAGAAGTTGAATTTTTCGCTAATTCTCTTTCACATTTTACATTCAGTTCATTTTATTTGCCGGAAAGTAAGCCTTAGAAATTGAAAGGACGTTTGATCAAATCACGCTCGCACATTCTAGTCTTATTTTAAACTTTATAGCGCAAGGACATCTGTGGACAGGGAATGGGTCAGCACAGATGTGATTGTCGGCGAATTTCTGTAAGCGTCCACGTTCTGCTAGTGATAAGCTAGCCGTTGATTCACTTGTAATGTATTGCTTGTTTGGGGCTGAGTCTTATTCCGGTCAAAGAGAGAGAAAGAGTGTCTTTCCAATCAAAGATTTGTGACCCCGTGTCTTGCAGACTTTCCAAGTGTCTATATTTAACAATTAATGAATGACGCTGAGTATCTTATGAAGAATTATCGAGATCGAGGAGGGTGTTATTTCCTGTTTTAAGCTATTATTTCGCCTAGTTCTTACTCTTGAAACGAGTGAAATTTCCGCTATTTTTGTTTTCATAACGACCAACTCAACCTCGTCCCCTGGTCTTCTCGGTTAAAGGTGCATTAACCTGCAAGGAAGCTGCACTTTTGACGTCATTGGTAGATTAAACGCAAAATTCTTCCAAATTTGGTCATCAGTAGCTGGTTATGGTGAATTATGCGAGTGCTTTTAGCCAATCAGAACCGGGGAAATATTTTGAATGAATAATAAACACAGTTATACGCACCTTATAACTTCATCTGCGCTAAACGAGTGTCCTTTGGTCCATAACTTTCAAAACAACTGCTCTACAGAATGTCACTGATAACACGTAACGCAAAAGAGTACCGAAGTATGACTGTACAATAAATGTCACAAAATGTACCTAAGCGGTCCCTACGGGATTTTCTGTCTTAACGTCATCGTAACCATCTCGAGATTTTTTCTGGCATACTGACTGTATAATTATTTTAACTGTAAGTACTTCTTTAATATACGCGCGAGTTATCAGAGTGGCTCCTCGGGATTTCGCCTTCTGGGCCTGCGGGGGCAATAAAGCCTGGGAAATCTTGTCAGCGGAAAGCTTCTACGATTATGCGCATTTGTTTCACTTTTTGCCTTTTCGCGGGTTTTCGCGCCGTTGATGCTCGTAGATCCTGTGGAAGGCTGACAGAAACCTTTTTTTTTTCTTTCCTGGTTTCTTGTTGACATTTCGACTGATATCATAATCAACATCATGATGAATGATATATCGTGGGGACCAATTAAGGAAACTGACGTGCAACAGTTTTGCGTGGAAATGATGAAACGGCTCGATGTTCAACGAAGGAACGATCATTTCTGTGATGTAATTTTAGAAGTTGGCTGTGGTGACGATCAAGCTCGCTTGAAAGCGCACAGAATCGTTTTATGTGCAGCAAGTCCGTTCTTCTACAATGCTCTTAACAGCGAAATGAAAGAAAAGAAAGAAGGAGTCATCAGATTAGAAAACACAAGCAAAGCTGTGATGGAGGAATTGTTAGATTATCTGTACACAGGATATGTTGACGTCACGCAACACAACGCGTTCGATCTTCTAGTGGTAGCCGATTTTTTGGTCATTCCATGTCTGAAAGAGACTTCAAGTAACTTTATCGCACGGACGTTGTCTTCTTCAAACTGTATTTTGGCATATTATTCGGCTGCTAAGTATCAGTGCAGAGAATTGCAAAAGGAAGCGAGAGATTTTATCTGTACACACTTTACGAGTGTAATTGAGCAGGAAGATTTTTTGAACTTAAGCAAGGAAGAGCTGGAAGAATGGATTTCAAGTGATGAAATAAGAGTAAGGGGGGAAGAAGACGTTTTCCAGGCTATTGTCAAGTGGTGTGAAGAAAAAGAGTGCCGCCAACGTGAAATGTTTTTCGAATTATTTCGTAACGTTCGTCTGATGTACCTGTCACGCAACTATGTTTTCAAGGAAATCTTACCTCATCCTTTGGTGAAAAATGATGAAAGATGCACGTCAGTGGTCTTAGATGCAATGGAAGATGTTTCATCTGGCTCTGAAGACTGCTATTTTGCCCAAGCACCAAGAAACTGTCTGAGGATAGCTGAAGATTGTCTTGTCATCTCTAGCAGTAAAAGCACAATCTCTTACCTTCCCACAGAAGGCAAGTTATTTAAGCTTGCAGACCAGTCCAGTCATAGCTTTTCATATACCATGTGTGTTTCTTATGGCAAACTTTATGTCAACAATGCTTTTCAACAGTCAGTTGAGAGATATGATCCAGTGGTGAACTCTTGGTTATCTGTCACACCTTTAAGTGGTGGTTCATTGCCACTCCGTAGTGTAGCTGTAGTTAATTTCCAAGGGTTTTTGTATGTGATTGGTGGGAGAATAGGAGATGAGCAAGTAAACTGTGTACATAGGTACAATTCTGACACAAATCTATGGCAGGAAGCTATGCACATGAACATTTCCAGATCTTCACTGTCTGTTGCAGCTGACAAGGACACTATGTATGCAATTGGAGGCCGGACAAAAGATCAGTTACTGGATGTTGCTGAAAGATTTGACCCCAAAACAAACTCATGGTGCAGAGTGGCTTCAATTCTTGAAAAAAAAAGATACTCTCATGCTGCTATTTTAAAGGGTAAAGTGTTTCTATTTGGCGGCTGTACGAGCCCTCGCGCCTTAAATGTAACTTCCAGGAATATTGAAATGTACGACCCAATTACAAATATCTGGACAGCCATTCAGAGTACATCTGCACCAAAGTGCTTTTTAGGTGCCACAAGTTTTAAGGGAGCCATTTATGTTACAGGTTTGTGGAACCAAGAAAGTTCCAATGTTTATTGCTTGAGGGTCTATGATGTTGACAAGAATGAGTGGAAGCATTGTGCAGATATTCCTCTTAACTCTCCTCGAGCTGTTTTGGCTCCTCTCAGAATTTCAAGAGGAATTTTAAACACTTGTAAAGTTTTGATTTAAAGCACAGGTTGGATAATGTTTTGAAACATGTACACTGCTGCAAACCACAAATTGATTAACCTGGCAAAATGCTCATTAATTTTTTTAGGAGAACTTCCTTTCATTGAGCTGTAATTCATTAATGCAGCCCACAGCCACATCTTAAGATCCCAACCTGGATTTCCTCTAAAAAATTTACCTTGTTAATACAGTCAATAAGAGCAAAAAAAATGTGCGTTTGAAATGACAAACAAGTGGCAAATGAAAATTGATATATTTCTGACAGTGTCAGCGTCGCCTCCGGATCTAACAAAAGATGACCGGTTAAGAATGTGCGCTCGTTTATATAAGACATTTGACAGTGTCAGCGTCGCCTCCGGATCTAACAAAAGATGACCGGTTAAGAATGTGCGCTCGTTTATATAAGACATTTGACACCTCCGTAACTAGTTAATTAACGATCATTAATAAATGATTACTCAATCAACCCACGTTACCAAGACGACACGAGAGTTTGGGCAAAATAAGTTTATTGAACCAAGCGGAGAAAGCTGACCGATAGCTTGACAATAAACCAAGACGCCAAAGTGCCCAAACTAGGGTGAGAATGTTGGTAATGGGTTGAAAGAAGACTAAGGCATAAGTCGATAATAAAACTTAGTCGGAAAACATAGACTGAAGCGTTAGGGCCATAGCCTTGGCTGCCTGCTGTTTTTGTGTCTGAGATAATTCTAAATAAACAAGATAAGCGTCGCTCTTCCAGTCTCCCTGCAGTTTGATTATTTCGGATGGAATATGGCAATCAAATGCGAAAGTCGCCCCACCCCTTCGAAAACTATGAGGAGAGTAAAGGGACGGATCTAAATTGAGCGTAGACATAACCCGCGAAAGAAAAGCGCAAAATTGCTTGTAAGTAATTGGTACTAAACCCGACCCGGAGAAAACTGAAAAAAGGGGGGCAGACACGGGGCCCGGGTTGAGCGCGAAATGGCGTCGCAAGGCCGAAATCGGACAAAGGCGAGAGCCAGGAATCACGGGAATTGGCAAAATAAGAGAGCGTTGCTGACACTGAATGGTCTTCGTGGCTGAAACATGGATATTTGCGCCCGAAGACGTGAAAACCAAATCTGCCCGCGTGATAACCTTGGGGGAGATTTGCCTCGGATTATCGAGTACTAGATTGGATTACGCAAAAAGGTGAAGAAAGCAACTAAAAACAGAGCCCACATAGCCGCATGTAGCGGTAAAGAAAAATTGAAAAGATCAAACGCGGCATGCAAAATTGAAGGTGTCATGGCCGATTTACGAGAAACGGCCGCACCCAGAAAACGCTTGGCGCCTCGTAATAAAAGCTGAAAGCGGTAATCGGAACTCCAAGTGAGTTCAGACCCGGCAAGTTGATGAGCGTGTTTAAGACTACTAATATGGTTAAGCACGGTACCGTAAGCCCGTTTCTGCGCGACTAAATATGCTACATACAAGCTAATCGATTTAACACTAATAGGAAAGGACTGAAGAGCCCTCAGGTCACAAAAAGTCCGATAACTACGAATATGAGCAGCTATATTCTTCTGTGTCGATGTTGCGTGTGCACAGGAGATGAGACGTGAGACGAAAGACTGCAATGTGACGATAGAAACATCTGACCGGGAATGCTGACCTGATCCCGGAGGGAGGTCTTGAACACTGGGCACGAAGTCGTGAGGCCAGTCGATGGGTCTTTTAGTGCGTCGTTGGGAGGTTGGCTCTGTAACATCGTCGGCGAAACCGCCGCGCGTGTTTTCTTGGGGGCGTTCCCGAGAGCTCAGAGTAAGAACTTGCAACTCCAGTTCGAGCTTGTCTTTCTGGAGCTGGACAAGTTGAATTTGTTGCTCAAAAGTGAGCGTGTTTCCTGAATCCACTGAAGAGGTTGCCGGCGGCGAAGGGTCAGGAACCGTGGGTGATTTGGATTTGAAGGACTTCTGCTTTCGCTGCTTTGTTTTCGGTATGTTGTCGGCATCGTCCTCTACTTCTAGAGCCTCTGAAAACAACGAGTGTGAGGGAAGATCGTAGAGGAAATCCGGATCGTACGCTGGTTTGGGAGCGCGCTTTGGACGTGCGCCGGCTGAGAGTGACATTACGAAAAGAGCTTGGAGCGACGAACGTGAAGACAAGAGGTTACGCGTCGCCTCCGGATCTAACAAAAGATGACCGGTTAAGAATGTGCGCTCGTTTATATAAGACATTTGACACCTCCGTAACTAGTTAATTAACGATCATTAATAAATGATTACTCTTCTGACAGTGTCTGCTGTAAAAACCTGTGAGCAAGAACCTGCATTTTCCTTAGTTAGCCTAAACAGATTCTTACGTAAATGTTAATTAGCACTAATTTAGGCTACTCAGGTTCTTTTAAAATGGGTTCTTCTTTTCTTAACAAAACAAAAAACATTGGAGCTAAAAGTAATTAGTGGTATTCAGCTTAATCCTTATATCAAATCTACCTACTAAATTAGTGAAGTCAGAGTCATTAAGGACATTTGTCTCCAAAGAGTATCCTGAATGTTAATTTATTCCATTTGCCCAAGTGTGCAGAATTTTATTTTTAGATTTTAGATAATAGGAACCAGTTTCAAATTTTAGGCTAAACAGGTTCTTGTATAGAGGAGGCCTAACTGGCAAATTTTAGCCTAACAGGTTCTTAAAAACCAGGTTCTAACTTGTGGGTTTTTACCATAGTCACTTACAGATTTTGCAATGTAACAGCCTGTGTGGTAGTCATTTAAGATGTTAAATTTTGACAGTGATGAGAAAAGGAACCAGTTGAGAAAAGGATATCACCATACCCTACTAAAAGACCTTTCCACAGTTTTTTTCAACTTTTGACGTGGACAAGTTAGGTAAAATCCATGGACTCCAAAGGAAAGAGCACCTTTAAATTAGAAAACTGCCAAGCTTGAAAGTGATTTGTTGAAAACTAGCCAAAATATAGCTACATCTACATCTACATCTACATCTACATTTATTAATTGACAATGCTTTTGCAGCTCTTCATAGTCGCAAAAAATTTACAGACATGGTGCCCATTGCAGAGCTATATATGTACATTTGCTCACTTAAGACGTATCACTTTCAAACTTGGCAGTCTTACTTATTTAAAGGGGCTCTTTCCAGTGGTTTTAAAAGATTTTCTTTAACTTGTCCATATCAAAAGTTGAAAAACCATGGAAGGGTCTACTGGCTGCCAAATTTTAATAGCTCAACAGTGGCCGTATGAATTGGGAATTGAATGTTGTCCTTATGGTTACTTTTTGGTCAGGGTAAAGTTAGGTTGAAATTTTCTGTGCTTTTTTTTATTGATGCTTTTAGTACTGATTAAAGAAGAATCTAGTACTGTTTGCCTTTATTATTAACTAGTGTAAAATAATACCTTGGTATCCAATGCAGTTTCCTCTTTCTCCCCTGTAAAGTTCTCGGAGGCTAGGGAGAGGGAAAAAGACAGGTGCGCATGGGACAATGGGAAGGGAAAAGAGAAGAAGAGAGACAGCCATTTTTTCTGTCCTCCCATCATCCACCGCGTGCTTACTATTTTTAACCTGACTCTATTTTCGTTTCGCTTTGTAAATAACATTCCGACGGGCAAGAAGAATGTAAGACAACTGCTAAAATTTGGCCTGATCTTGGGTTACGCAGTTTCTGTAACCGAAACTGCCTTTTTATTTTTGTGAGATTTAATGAATCATTGCTCTACTGACGTGAAATATTCTCTACCTGTGGTTTCTACGAATCGAAGCAACAGACGACTCGACATTTTAATCCTGCAACGCCGGGGTACACCAAGAAAAAAAACTGGTTAATCATTTTATTAAGTGGATAGCTTGATTTGATTTTTGTGGGGCTTGTCAGCGGCGACACGCCAAGCCAGCAGAGCCAAACAGTGCTAGAAAATGAAAACAGACACCTTACTCAAAGACACACCATTGGTGTTCTCGCAATTACCATGTCGGTTGTTAAACGATCTGGGGGCTCCGAAACGCTATTTTCAGCACTTGTCATGAGGTGTGTTTCCGAAAAATCGACTCGAATAAGTGTGAAAAGTCAAGTGTGTTTTCAGTGCTTACAAGTGCTTATTTCCGAGGTCCTGTTAATTTAAAACACACCGTATATCCAAGCACTAGTACACTAAACATTTCACAAAACTGCACGATGTTTGGCTAACTAACCTATAAAAGATGTCTCCACGGTTTGATTTTCGTTCATAAATATCCTTTGGCGTTGGCATGTAGTTTGTTCAACGATGAATAAGCATCATTGCGAGGCCGCTAAGGCGTTCTTCTGTACGACGCAGAGCAGAGAGGGATGGCTTTCACAAGAAACACTACCAACTCAGGGACCGCGGAGCAAGGTGAAAAGTGGGAGGGCTGACAATTGAAAATGATTTTTTCATATTGAAAATCGAAAAAAGGAATAAAATCATAGTATTTGATTTGTTTCTGTCGCGTGACTTTGCATACTTTTTCCAGTACTTGTTGCTCTTTATAGGTCGACATTAGTGAAGATACCGAAATTCTTCATACGATTTTCATTCCTTCCAGCAAATGTGTATGCTAAATTACAGGATTGCTGACAATAAGTAGAATATTATAAATAGAATAAATATATAACCCATCACCAAAAATCCAATTACACTTAACGAATATTAGTCAGAAACAACTCGCACTTCCAAAAAATGAAACTTTTAACAATATATTGAAATGTTTACTGGTCAAACTCAAACTCACCATTTTCACTGCAAGTAGTTGTCGTCTTTTCTGCAGAGCTTACAGACTTTGACGAAGTCCCAGCTAACTCTAATAAACGACCAACATACACGGTCAGTTCAGATTCAATGCAAGAAAAGACGCGATTACAATTTTAGTATAGAAAATACTACACTGAAAATCTGAAAAATTTCTAACTATGGCCGTTCACTGTTCAAGTAATGTAATTCTTCTTGCCATCGATTCGAAAGGAGAAAGACAAAATATAAAACTTTCATCAACTCAAAACAACTACTCACCTTCGTTTGGCTTGAAAAAGCTAGTAATTTTCTTCATTTCGTCTGATAAAACTGATAAAAAACTCTGCCGGAGCTGGAAGTACAACACACGCTGCCGAACGAAGCGAAGGGGTGGCCAAGGCAAGCCAAGGCATGGCGTATGATCAAGGGGCAAGTCGGCCCTAGGGCACAATTACCGCGAAAAGCACAAGAGCCCCACAAAATGCCTGGCGTTTGAAATAAAAGAAAATACAGAGAATGTAGCGGAATATAGACGGAAAAAACTTGTTTCAAGTATTTTTTTTTATTTTAATTATTTTTCTTTTCAGCGCAAAAAGTGGGGGCAGGGGCGCAAAAAAGTGGTGGGGCCGCGGCCCTACCAGCCCCTCCCCCTCCGCGGTCCCTGCAACTGGTGTGCCATTACGGGCACTCTCTGTAAATTAAAGTGAACATTGCAAATAGGTTATAGATGAACGAGCTACAAATTGTAGTAGCTGAGCGGTGGTAACCACAATCTTTTTAAGAGCGATCGCCAAGAAAAATTGAGCAAAATAATTTTAAAAAATCGCAAAAAGCACTTTTATTTTAGAGAAAATATATAACAAGAAATTCAGTTTTCTCTCTTCGGAGTGTAAATTGCAGATTACTTTTGGGACGGATCGCTCAATATTGAAGGACGTATGCCCGGGGGAAGCTCGAATAAAAAAGTGACGTAGACGCTCGTCGGAAAATTAAAATTTTAATTTTTAATTTTAATCATGAAAATGATTTTTATTGGCCGGGATATCATGTGCTTTTTTAAAAAAATAATTGCATTTTAATTTGTATAGTTAATAACAGACACGAAAAACATGACTACAACAACAAATTTTGACAGCGCGGGCGGTTTTAGATCATTCAACATGATTCAACTGATTGGCTGAAACAGACTACCACCTTTGTCAAATTCAAACTTTTTCAAGACCAACGCTTTCAAAATCATTCAGCTAAGAACTTGGAAATGTGCAAGGATTGATTTCACACCAGCCTGTTAAAGATAGCTCGGTTTACAATAATGAGCAAAACTAAGGGTTTATAGAATCATCCTCGATTATAAAAGCGTTTACAAAAGATTCCCGCTTTTCAAGATTCCCCGTTTTAAAGATTCTCCATTTTAAAGATTCCTCGCCGTTTTAAAAATTCCCGCTTTTAAAGATTCCCGCTTTTGAAGATTCCCCACTTTAAAGATTCCCCGTTCCCTGTTGCCCGTTCCCCATTTCCATTCCCATTCCCATTCCCCGATTCACCGTTCCTTGTTTTAAAGATAGCCGCTACTTTCGAAGGGTCATTATCTTTTTGGGGTCGCTACTTTTTGGGATTTGCATGCGCACTTTTCTCGCTTCTTTTGGAGGGTCGCTACTTTCAGGGGGTTGTTACTTTTGGAACTTTTCGGTGCATTTTATTTTTTTTGAGAAAATTCCCTTTAATTCAGCCATAATTCAGTAATGCAGCCCAAAGCACATCTTAAAATTCCAACATGGATTTTCTTCACAAATTTACCTTGTTAATGCAGGTAATAAGAGCAAAATATGCATTTGAAAGGACAAACAAGTGGCAAATGAAAATTGATATATTCTGACAATGTCTGTTAAGCCTCTTATTGTTCACTACATGTACCATTAATACAGTGAAAACCTGCATTTTCCTGAGTTTATAGCCTAAACGGGTTCTTACATAAATGGTAATTAGCACAAATATTGGCTGTTTAGAATCTTAAATAGAGTCTTATTTTCTTAAGAAAAAGAACATACATTGTAGCTAAGAGTATTACTGTCAGTGGTACATGTATTCAGGTGAATCCTTATCTAAAATTTGCGTACTATATTAGTATTACTGTTTGGTCATAGTTAAATCAGGTCAAAACTTTCTGTGCTTTTGTTGATTGATGCTTTTAGTGTTGGTTAAAGAATATTCCAGTACTGTTTTCCTCTTTATTAACTAGTGTAAAATCATACCTTGGTGTTCAATGCAGTTCCCTCTTTCTCTCCAGGGAAAGGTCTCTTTGTGTCACAGGGAGGCTGGGGAGAGGGAAAAAGAAAGACACCCACGGGATGATGGGAA